TTGTGCCTTCTCCTACTGCAGTATAGAGCTGTCACTAGGAAGCAGCTACCTAGCTAGCGAGTCATTTCCAAACACCCACTCTGTCAATGTAGAACCAGGTGATTAATTCTCATCATTAAACTGTGAACTGAAATAATATATATCATTCTGAAAGAATAAACTTAAGAAGTGTATATTCTTCACTCTTATTTTTCCTATTTGCTAACTGGATGCAGAAGATGCTAAGTATCTAGCAAATGCAAAATCACACGATGGATGAGTTCTGGGCCAATGAATCACCACTTGAGCAAAAGTTGTGCTCTGATCAAGTCCTTTATCATCACAAGACTGCTGAGAGAAAAACATTTATTATAAGTCTCTAAAATTCTGAGGTTTATCAGCTAAATTACCCAAATCAAGAGAGAAATCTGTACCTAGCAATGAGGTGTTGCTGTGACAAAAGTCTCAAATTTGTGGTCAGGAAGCAGGCATCAGGAAAATTACTATCAGAAGCTAGAAAGATGGAATAGTGGTGAAAAACAAAAACAGCTTTTTAAAATATTACCTTCAATAACTTGGAAGGTAAACTAAATACCTGTGAGCTTGTAGGTCTATAGCAGTTGGTTCTCAACTGGGTACAATTTTGTCCCCAGAGGATATTTAGCAATGACAGCAAACATCATGAAAATCTTAGTTATTTTTCAAGACCAACTCAAATGTTTATAATTCCACTCCTCGTATCAGATTACACTCTTATGTCACTCATATCAGAATTAATGAGTCTTTTATTTGTACCCTTTCAGCATGCAAACCTTAATTCATTCTTCCTTTTTTTGGTCTCTTCCTCTCCACAGTACATGTCTTGAATGCAGAAAACCTTACTCATGTATCCCATATATTGCCTAGAACATATCTTACTCATACAAATTACACCATTAGTATTTGTTCATTACACATTTACTTATCTGTCCTTTTCAGATTTATGTTTCTTTACAGTTTATTTTTTTAATAAAATATTGATTTGTATACCTGGGAGGGATTTCAACCACAATTGATCCTTAGTTGCCTTGGTATCTTTAGAACTTAGTGAAATGCCCCCTTTCAGAGATGTCTTCAAATTGAGTATCTACAAACATCATATAATTGTAATATGAAAAAAGGTGAGTGTGAAGGTCCATTGATCCCATGGTCCTTGATCTCAGAGTCCAATATTAAAATCTGCATGTCACAAAAATCACTTCACAATATAACAAGCGTTAGAGAACCTGAGGCCTTAAAAACACTAATTTTCACATTAGGTGTCCCCAAAGACTTCTACCCTTTGGACATCCTTTCATTCCCAGCTTTTAATCACATGACATTAGTTACTGTGTAAAGTTGACAGCTGCCTTAAATAGGAAAAACAGATGAGAGGACATTTTTAAATAATGTAGTTCGTCTCACAGGAGTGTCCAATATTTTGGAGTCTCTGAACCACATAGTGATACATAATCACAAAATAAAGTCTCATAATATTTTAAGTAAATTTAAGATTTTGTGTTGGGTTGCATTCATAGCCATCCTGAGCCACATGCGGCCCATGGGCTGCAGGTAGGACACCCCTGGGAATTTAAGTAAAGGTCTTTTAAGGAGGTTAGGGATTAAAACACAACAAACTAAATTTTACTTGAGCAGAAATAAGGGTACCAAAAACAGAAACCACTTGTGGCTGTCCACAGGAAGGAATGGTCAGAGACAAGGGCATATATGTACATCAGGAAAGGCTAACTAAGAGGAGATATAGATAAGAAAGTGGATGATTACCTATTTTCCATTTCAGACCAAGATAGATAAACTTAACTTGGCATTCAGTTAAAAAATTATTTTAAATCCTTAGCCCACCTAGATGGCTCTGACATTAGTATGCTAATGAAGAGATTACTATAGATGGGAAACAAAGCAACAATTTTAATTTTTCTTCCAAACTTAAAACACTGCTACTCAATTGAAGATATAGATCTGGACATCTGAAGAAAGAATGACTGGAGATAGATATGGGATCATAAGATACAGGTAATGGAAATGGATACTCAAAAGCAGTAAAAACTAAACAAAACAAAACAAAACAAAAAGCTTTAAATGTATAGAGAAGCCAGCAAAGGGATAAATAAGCAAAATAAATCATGATGTTTCCTTACCTAGTCCTTATCACATTTTTAGCTGTTCTATATGAGCTTACAATGAAACCAGATGGGCTTTTTTTTCAAGGGTTATTTTTCCACCTTGATTTCAAGATCCTGAAAGACAAGAACCACTCTTCCACTTTATATTTTCCTAAACCCACCACCAGTAGTCTTACACAATGAATAGTAAAACTCAATGAATTCTTTATTCATTTTTTGAAGGTTAAAATGGGAGGTTATTTAAAAATGCAACATTTAATGCAAATTCCTAACATTAAATAATGAAGTATTAGAAACTATTCATGTATATGTAGGACTTTATAGAATGATTCACTGAATTTAAACCTGGCAAAGAATTCCACTTCCCTCACCCATCTACTCCCAAAAGAGCCAAAATCTCTCATAAAAAGCAAGTTTCTTATTTCTTGCATCAACGCCTGAAAACCTACTCTCACACAATTCTTGGCTACTAAGTGTTATGTTTAAAGAAATATTTTAATGTACAATTGGTTTTCTGAGAGATGTATAAAGGTTCATCAATGGAGAAACCTGGCAAGGCTGATTAGAGAACATGTCTATGACTAATTACTCAGTGGAGAAATGGAAAGCCAAATAGAACCTCTGGTGGCACAGTAAGGGAATAGGAATTGCAAACTAAGAATTTATGACTTTGGAGCAGATACAGTACCCAAGCATCTTCTGACATCATCCATTAAATAGTTCTGACATCGATCAAACCCTTAGTGTGTCACTGACTTATTAACATCCCGTAACTGAAAGAGGGGAAGGAAGGGGGATTTCAGGGACCATCTAACAATGAACAGCACATACTAGTAAGCCTAAGGGTAGGATGCTGAAATCATATCCCTAATAAATGAACCTCACTACAAGCCACATTCCCCTTGAATTTTTTTCTTTTTCTCTTAACCACCTGTTTGAACCTAAACTTCATTCTCTTCCCCATGTCATCTTGTTTGGGGGCTTAATTTTTTCCCTTTGACCTCTGTGGATCTGAGTATATACATGCTCATGTGCTTTTTATAATAAAGCTTTCCAGTACCTTTGGTCCAGCAAGACTATCATATCAGTACTGTACTGTGCCAAATCTTTGAGATTGCCTAATGAACTGAAGAGAAAGGGTGTTTGCTGAACTTTTCCCCAGTGGTAGGTTTTAAATTAGGAAGTTAGAAAGGATCCTCACTGAGCACAGCTAACCAGAAAGCAGATGATCTAAGTTTCAAATGCTATTACGTTGCGGAGAAACAGGGAAACAGACACACTACCTAGTTGTGAAAGAGGAAAACTAATGTCATAAAAGGGTAAAGGAAAAGGCAGTTCCTGCCACAAATGTACTGCAAAATAGGTAAGTAAATTCAGTCAACTGTGCCAGGTGGTAGAGGGCAGTGGCAAGGAATAAATGTTGAAGATTTGAAAAGTTTGAGGTTAGCCTGGATGATTCAGGGTCCAGCACAAGTAACACCCCTTGTTTTTATTACAAAATCTTTTATTACAAAATCATTAAGTATATAATTCTATAACATAACAATATCACACTCAAGCACACCATATGACATTTTAGGTGAAATGTTCAAATTGCTATCCATCTCATGTGAGACATTCACATACCCTACCAAAACACTCGAGCAAGCCTTACTTCTGCCGGACCCTGTATAAGCACAGGCTTTGGCACCAAACACCTAGGTTTAAATTCTTACCTGTAGCCAAGTGGTGATCTTCGGCAATTAAGAGTGTGAGCTGAACATCAGTATTCCCTCCTAATTCAGAATTTGAGGATTATATAAGGCCACTGCTTAGAACTTAATATAGTATTCAGTAATTGGAAGCTTTTACAGTTGTTTGAAGATAGAAGGGTCCAAAACAGAACTATTAGCCTACCAGTGTTGGCTGCTTCAGAAATAAGAAAACAACTATCAATCAATGAAAGCAAAGTCTCTCACAAGCTAGGGAAGAGTCATAAGATTCACACTCAAGGCCACAAAACAGTGAACCTTTTACTAGATATTAAACTTTAAAACCACACAGCTTAACAGTAATCTTAACCACTAGGTGGCAATGATACAGCTGAATTTCACAGACAAGGTTAATTTTAAAACAGTGAGTCGATCCAGACAGAAATTCCAAGCTTTTTAGTATTTTCATTTTAGGAAAATGAAAAATCAATTTATATACATTTAATTCACAGGAGATGTAATTATCTGATTCAATATCTATGTTAACTTCTGATGCTTTTTTTCCTCTGTGCACTGAGGTAATTCATGCAAAACGTACTTTTAAAGTTCTCATCACAGACATATCTTTAAAAAAAAATCTGGACATATATCATGAAGATAACAGAAATTATGGGAAGTGAAAAATCTTTTCAATGTGTTAGAATCCTAAGAAAGTCACCATAAAATGGAGAGTATTTCAATGATAGTTAAAAAATGACTAATTCTACTTTAGGAAAAATTAGTGCCAAAACATTAAATATGGACACACTTTGCTTTTAAATCATAAATTAATATTCACATAGGTAAAGTTTTTTCATGTCTTGAATAAACATACTAAGTTTACTAAGCAAATTTGTCAAAATTTGGGTAAATTCTAGAACATTTTTTACAAGTGTCAAAATAATAAATGATGAAATCCCTAATAATCTGGGACTTTCCCTAATTACTTCTGCTTTCTTCATAAAGCAGGTCATAACCTATGGCTTATTAAAAATAAAAAAATTATTCTTTTCATTCTTTTTCTTTTCATGTAATAGAAGGAAAAGGTATGATTTTTTAAATCAAATTTTACATAATATTAAGTACCCAGTAAAAAGAAAATAACTTTCAATTCCCAAGACGTTCTCCTACATGTAAGGTGGGAACTCAAATGACAATACTGCATGTAACCTTACAAAACCTGTACTATAATTAGATGAATAACTTGACCTCTCCTGTTACCCAATTTAAAAAACACAATTTCTTCCCTTTACATAAAATTCCCCAAATTTTCAACTTCCAGTGTTCTACAAGTGAGCTGTTTACAATATTTTATGTATCTGCTTTCCAATAGTTTTCTAACTGGGCAATCCCTTCCTGTATTATATTTAGTTCCATTTCCAGAAAAGTCTCCCCCAATGCAATCAAAAAAATTTTCTAAGTTTTCTGGAATTCACATATCACTGTTTCCTTCTCATTACTGAACTTCATTTTGAATTATTATAGATCACCCTGAAATCTAACAATATAGGTATTTCCTCATTCTTTCAGCATATACAGTACACAAAACAGATAACCATTTAAGAGGGTTAGCACAAGAAAAGATTACCGTGGCAGTGCTCACAAATCAAACAAAAGACATCAGGAAAATGCTCAATCTGTTAATTTTTGCTAGAAAATTTAGAGAATCCCACTGTTATGGGTTAATTACAGATCTACAAAAGTGAAAATGCATACATGTAATTTATATTCATACAGAACCAGCTTTAGATTATCTGCGTAAGTAAAAGGACAAGAGACAGAGATGATGCAACACACAATTCTCAAAGCACTTCAGACACATATTTCTATCTGTATTTGATAGGACTGTGTGAGAATTCAGAACACAAACAAAATAAAGCCATTATTGGAAAGAAGTTCAAAGTTATCAACACAGTCACCAAAACAGTAACAGCAAAATGCCATTATTGACTTGAGTTGGTCATCTTCTGTTTATTTCTGATGGTGGCTCGAAGTTTACGTATCACCAGTCTATCAGGCAGAATCATATCACCTTGTTGTTCTAGATAATCCAATAAATTTTCTGTCCATTGCAGAGCAGCTGCATGATTGATATGTTTCTCTGGAATCAGTTCTATTTCCTCCTCCTCATTTTCACTGGATTCATCTGTCTGGCCTTGTGCTCTTCTGATGATTTCGCTGTCAGTTAATACTTCATACCCTGGTTCAGTGCTATCCACTTCAAACCATTTTTCAATGTTCTCAGTAGTCACATTTTCCAAGCCTTTGGTGTGTTGTAAAATGGTGGCCACAGTAGCCAGTGAAATATCTTCTTCATCAAAGTCCAAGCTTTCTTTCTCCTCTATGGTAGGGAGAATCTTCTTCCATGCTCTGCTAATGGTAACTGGCTTTACTAAATTCCATGCCATTGCCACTTCATAAAGTGCATCTAGCAGAGTTAACTTTTTCCAGAATGATTTCAGATCATTACCTTCTTCCAAGTTGTTCTGGAGAAGACCTGTACGATAGTTTCTCTTCATTGTTGCTATGACACCCTGGTCCAAAGGCTGAATCAATGAAGCCACATTAGGTGGTAAATATTTAGCAAATATTTGGCCATCATCTGATCTAAGGACATTTTCATTTGGATGTGTTGGTGAATTATCCAGCAAGAGCACAGCCTTTTCCTGCAGGCCTTTGGATCTTAAGTGTTCTCGAACTTCTGGCACAAAGATCTTGTCAAACCATTGTCGGAAAATGGAAAGATCCATCCATGCACCTTTCTGGCTGAAATAAGAAACGGGCAAGTTTGAGGTGTCAGTTGACTTGAAGGAGCGAGGTTTCTTCGCTTTGCCTACCACACAAAGTTTAAGTTTGTGTAAACCTGTTGCATTGGCACAACACATGACAGTCACTCTTTCTTCTATTGACTTGTGCCCAGAGACAGTACATTTACCTTTGATTACTGAAGTCCTAGAAGGTAGGCATTTCCAAAATAGTCCTGTTTCATCTGCATTGTAGATTTGTTCAGGCTGCAGATTCTCTCCTTCAATAAAGTCTCGGAAGTTGTTACAAAAATCTTCCACAGCGGTCTCATCACCATTTAATCTTTCATTTCTAATGTTTATTTCTCTAATGCTGTGCCGCTGCTTAAAACGAGTTAACCAACCCGCAGAGGGGTTAAAATCGCCATCCATTCCCAAAGCATAAAAGAAGAACTCTGCCCTTTTTGCACAAATGGGTCCCGATACAGGATTCCCTTTTGCTCTTTGCTGGTTGAACCATTCCAGCATTGCTCTGTCCAGTTCCTCATACATAGATGGCTTCATAGATTTCCTCTTAGCCAGAAGACTTGTGGAATCAGAACTGCTTGCATAAGTTATAATCTTTTCCTTATTTTTTCTTATATCCCGGACTGTTGTCTCACCAATTCCATAAATCACTGCCAGTTGTTTGGAAGAACCTCCGTCTTCGAGTTTCTTTATTATATCAAGCTTATCTTTAATAGTCAACACCACTCGCTTCCGTTTCCCAGACATGGTGAGACTCTGAGGCTCTCCCCACACTCACACTGATGTAGTCCACAAAATTCTTTCCTCACACAGACTCACTTTAACACGGTGTTACAAACTCTGTCCACCGTACCAGGAACCCGGTGGGCCTGAGCCTGTCCCGGCTGGGTGTGGCTGGCAGAGAGACAACAGAGGAAAGTGAGAGGGAAGGAAGTTTCAGGGAACATACGTTTTAACTTAGATGGGCAGTAGAGGAGGCCTCAAGTCACCGCGGATAATCCGGATTACAAACACTTGTTTTATTACCTCAGTAGCCGCGGGAAAGATTATGACCCCAACGAGACCACAAACCTCCTTCACGCCCAGATCCCGGGAGACACCCGTCATTAACCCCTGCCACTCCCCAAAGTTAAGGCTGAGAGCGGAAGAGCCCGGGAGTCGGGGACTGGCCACCTTCCCCAAGAGGACGGTTGTTTGATTCCTTCCCCAAAAGCCAGCCCTTTTCACCACAAGCCCCACTTCCCCGCGCTGGGCTTGGCTCGGACAATCCTCCCGGTCCCTCACAGCCCGCCCAGCCCCTCTCCCCACCTCAGATGGAACCAGGCGCCCGCACCACTCCCAGACTAACGCGCAGCGACCGCTCCTCCCACTGCATGCGCACCCGGAAGACGCCCCCTCCCGTCGCCTGGCTCCGCCCCCTGTCTCTCAGAGGCGGGACTTCCCCTGGTCTCCGGAACAAGGAGGGGCGTCACTCGTCTGGTGTGCCTGGGGAGGAGACAGAGACGAAGGCGCTTTGAAAGGTGAGGACGCGGGGGCGGTGCGGACCAGTTCGGGGCGGGGACTCGCTCGGGCTCCCGCTTTGGCTACTAAGGGTTTACGTAAGGGGCAGGCGAAGCCGCGCCTAACGGCAGGCCTGGAAAAAAATTCCCGCACTGCTTTCGTGGTGGGCGGATCAGCCCTGGGCGCTTCTTCCGCGGGCGGGGCTGGGCTGCAGGGGGCGGGGTGCACATTCCTTCCGCGGTGGGGAAGTGGGCGGGACTGATACGGGGACTTGGAGCGGTAATTTGGCGGGATTCTGGCCTTTCCGACCCGTGTTTGTTCTGTGAGTGTGGACCTGCTCTAGGGTCTAGGGACTTGAGTCGTCCAGCGCTCGTCACCAAGAAGGGTGGTCCAAGGGTCCCGTTCCCTAGCGACGGCGTTCCTCTCTCTTGGAGGCAGAGTAGCGGACAGGCGGGCGTGCTGCGCCTGGTAACTGCGTCCCGCCTAAGAGTCAGGTTTGTAATCTTGAAAATAGCTGGTGTTTACTACCGGGAGAATCTGTTCCTCCTTCTGCCACTCATCCCTGCTGGATTTAGCGAATTACCTTAAGTATTACAGATTTTATTGAATACTGTGGTTGTCCGGGACGCCAAACTGGCAGGAACCACTCTGCAAAAATTGTGGAGTATTGGACCATGATGATGGAGGGGAGGGGGGGAGATTGGCTTTCCTGTCTTTTTGTGCTTCTTCATATTTTCCTATTTCCTATTCTGTCGTGTGCTGCTCGTTTTCCCAGCCAATGGAGGAACTATGACCAATTTATTTACTATAGCCCTTAAATCATTCTGCCGACTCGGTTCGATGTTCATAGCAATTTCATCAGATTGTAAGCTCCTTGGGAGCAGAGACCTTGTTGATTTGTTCTGGTAACCCCCCAGCTCCGTGCGTGTGCTGGCACATAGAATACATTAAATAACTACTTCTTTAGCTTATTAAGGTTTCCCCTCTAAATTTTCATATATAACAAGCAAACATCAAGGAGGGATGATGTTTTACCAATAGGATTATATCCCTCTCGTAGTGGAATTTCAAGAAATGGCTAGGGTTTTACTGCGCTTCAGAACCTAAAGTGTAAACTGCAACCTACATTGTAGGTCAAGTAGGTGATTCCTAGAATGAATCTTTCTTTGAGGATTAATTAACTTCAAATCTAGAAGAAAGAATATTTCTTCTGATGTGAAATGCGGATGGCATTAAAATACCTTTTATTAGTTTTATAGTTACTGTGTTAGAGAAAGAACACAATATGGATTATCTCCTTTGCATTTTTTGGTAGTCAGCATAGCTATGTAGGTGCATCTTACATGATAATAACCAAGAAGCAGAAAGGTGTGATAATATTGATTGCCCTCATTCACATACTGTTTTTTGCTTGGAGTCTGTTTTTTTTTTCCTTGTTGCCTAAAGATAAGGTATCATTACAGAAGCTTCATTAAATTCTCATTTCAAGAAATTCAGTGCATACTCAGCATATATACATATTACAGCCGTTTGCATGGATTCTTCCTTAATTCTAATGACCAAGAAATGTCTTTCCTATAACCTAGCTCTGCCTTCTCATTTCTCTCAGGTCCAGTTCCCTCCCTTTTCTCTCTGTCATCATTCCTTCACCCCTCTCTCCCAACTAACAAAGAAAAGTATCCACAATTTTAAAAAGAAGAGACAACCATATTCAAATTATCTCCTTTTTCAGTGACAGAATTTTTGACATTGATAAAAATGATAATTTTGAAATATGAGAGAGACCCTGGAAATTTTGGCAGTTGGCCAAATAAAGTGTGACTTATTTTAATGAACTAAAATGTACTTCTTCAAACATTCAATACTAAAGTTTTCCAAAATACATTTTTTCTCATTAGAAATTGCCTTATTTTGAAATTTTTACTTTTGACCTAATGGGAAATACTATAAATTTTACAATCAGTAAGATGGTAGAGGGAAGTCTGCAAATTTTCATCTCTTTAGTATAGTCTTTTCTTTCCTATTTGATAACTAGTTTTCAGAAATTTCTGGCCTAACTCTGGACTAAAATTCAGCTATGTAATTAAAGAAGCATGTTTGTAAACTTGAAACTATTTTAATGCTTATTTTCTGAAACTAAAATTTAGCATGAATGAAAGATAAAATAATGATTTTTTAAAGGCATTATTTTTACTACCTTGTACAAATATAATATTGACAACAGTCATTTGTATAGTGCCGGACCGGGAATCAGGAGACCTGGTTTCTAATCCCTCCTCTCTCACTAGCAAGCTGTGCGATCTTTGGTAAGTCATTTAAACTCTATGTCCTTAGCTTTAATTTTTATAAATGAAGATGATCATATTTTCCTTTTAGGATTATTGTCAGATTTAAAAATACTTATAAAAATGCATAAAAATTACTATACAAAAAGGATTTTGTAATAGCTTAACTGTGCAATCATTGGTATTTTCATACTGTGACATCTTAATTATTTTTACCATTGTGAAACCACTTTTGAGTAATAAAATCTTTCACTTTAATATTCCTACTGTACATGTTTGCTTTAGTGTATCTGCTGAAGCTGTATTTGTCATTTGTTTTTATAACTTGTTTTCATTATTTTATTTTTCCCAGTTCAAATTTATTAGAAAGCTTTACCTTCTCAGTACAGTGTAAAGCATATACACACTATGCAAATTTAACTATATATGCTTAAAACTTCTTTGTACTACATGGCTTCAAAGTATAAGATGCCTAAGTTATCTAGTGCTTAATAAGAAAAAACATCTATCTCTTTAAATAATGGGGGAAAAACTGGGTGGACATACTTTGAAGCAGTATGGTATACAAAAAAACACACTTTAAGGAGTAAAAATTTTTAAAGGATGATTTTGACCACATACAATTTTCTTCTTTGCTAATTTTAATATAAACTCTATAAGAAACAACCCAAGTATAATTTCAAATAGCAGAATACCTGATCTATTGACTAGGATTTGTTAAATTGTTGTTATAGTGCTGACTACATCTTGTAGCAGTTACTGTTGAACTTCAGCCTACAGTATAATTTCTGGTGTATAATCTTAACAGCCATTGTTCTGATTTTGTATGAGTTGTTACCATTATAGGAGTAGTCACATTACCTTACAAATATACCATAATTTGTACAATCCAATAAGTGGTTATTCCCCCTCACTCACTTTGAGAAGCTACAACCTTAGTTCAGTAATACTATCATTGTTCCTAAATTTTTTTAATTACCTTCAGAATTTGCAGCACATATTAAAAATACCTTTAATGGAAGTTCATCTTCATCTTTTTAAATTGGATTTACCTGTACTTTGCCTTGTATCATGCACATCCGTGTTTTTAGCCCAGACTTTCAGGAAAAAAATAAATCTTTAATTTTTTCATTCAATTTTTTATTTATTTATATTTACAAGCAAAACCAATTCTCATCATCTAGGGTATTGTTTTGCATATGGATGTTATTGCTTTCTAGAGTTACACTTTTAATGCTTAAGCATAAATAAAAGAGTTAAAAACATTTAATATAGATACAGAATTAACACTACCCTTGTATAATGCACATCTTTATTTTTCCCTCAAAAATTTGGGCAAAAAAGTGTCCATTATATGTGGCAAAATATGGTAATTTCTGGAAGCTACTCATGTAGTTTCTTATAACTGAGACAAATGAATAAAGTCTGTATTTAAATCACTCTTTGGGATAAAAAATGAAGTGTGATTATTTTCATATATTTATATGTATTTTTGATATAATGGTTTATAGACAGTCACCAGGAATATTCTGTGCCATGGTGGAAATACTGGACTAATCAGCCTCATAAGGTGATTTATTTGAAGGAGATAGGCCTCACTTAAATACACAAGCTTTTGTTCATGTATTATGAGGTCAGTCTCATTACATTGTGATATTTCTAGTTTCCTTAGCAACCACAGAAGTATATGTTACTGTTTTTCTAATTTTCTTGTCTCTAAGTGTTCCTTTACTATATGCTTGTGATAATTTTAATGGAATTCATCCTTTTCTGATTCAGAAACTTCAGCATTTGTTTTCCTTTCCCAATACCATGTTCTGCTTCACCATAAAACTTTTATATTTTTACCTATGTTACTGGATTTTTAGTAAGTTTTCTGTTGGATTATATTATATCTTAAACTTTGAGATATGGTTTAAAGCCATTGCCATTTTACTAAATTATATAGAGGCTGCAATCTTAGTGGATAGGTTATCTCTCAGCTTTGCACCAGTATCTTTTTTTATGTGAACTACTACTTTATAAGCTTCCTTAATATAAATTGATTGATCCTTTATGTTATGATTCATGTCACATCTCTATTCAGAATTATTCTTTGCTTATAGGACAAGTCATTCTATACTGGTATCTTTTTCCCAGCATAAAGCCTTTCTTTTTTTTTTTTTTTTAAGATTTTATTTATTTATTTTTAGGGAGAGGGGAAGGGAAGGAGAAAGGGAGTGAAACTTCAGTGTTTGCTTGCCTCTCGTGCACCTGTTATTGACCCAAAACACAGGCATGTGCCCTGACTGGGAATCAAACCAGTAACCCTTTGGTTCACAGGCCTGCACTCAATCCATTGAGCTACACCAGGCAGGGCCATAAAGTCTTTTTTCACACTTTTTTTGGTCACACTTATTTATTAAACTTGTGTTCGTTCTCAGTGATAAAGTTTTGACCTTACCATTTTTATCTGCCTGAAATCACTTTCTCCTTTCATTATTTTTCTTCAGACATAACCAGTCCTTTAAAATTCCATCAGATCATATCTGGTCAATAAAATCTTCAGGGAGGCACTTACTGTTCTGCTCTTTCTGCATCCTTACACTTTTATTGGTTATTTTTGTCATTCACTTGGTACTAAATGAATACTCCCTTGCATTTTTCTTATTATATGTTTATATATTTTAGTTCTGCACATGGATAATGGTCTTCTGAAGAAGAGGACCATGATTTTTCTATGTATCTCTTTCAGCAAAACATGTATCATAATTTAGATATTCATATAATGATTTCATAGATGTTCAGTAAACTATTTGTTGAATAAATGTTCTGCCATCTTCACTCAGATATTTCATGTGTTACCTTTGTGAACCATTTTATAATACCAAATAAATACAGTTTGTACCATAAATGCATTCATTATTGTAATCTGGTTATTATTATATTCCTAATAACTTTATTTTGTAGAAGCTTAAGTGAAAATGATACATGTTAGAAGACATGAAACAAGGAAAAATTCTAAAACTCAAGAGCATGAGCAGAAATCTCGAGTTGATTGGAGGCGGACTAAAAGAAGTAGTATCTCACAATTACTTGATAGTGATGAAGACCCTGAGAGTGATGAAGACCTTGATAGTGATGAAGAGCTTGACAGTGATGAAAGTGTTGACAGTGATGAAGAACTTGCTAGTAACAAGGGACTTGATAGTAATAAAAAGCCAGAAAATGAAGGAGAACTTAAATTAATTGAAGTTGAAAGTGAAGGAAACAATTGTGAGCATCTCATTAACACTGGCAACAGTTCAACATTTGAAGAAGAAAAGAACAAAACCAAACATAGTAGTATTGACTTACCAGATCATGAAAAGCACTCAAGTCAAGAGGATGATCTCAACAAACACACTGAACAAATAATAGAGGACGATGTTGAAGAGGAACGCATTAAGCGAGGGAAGAGAAGAAGAATCTCCTCTGTGATGTCTGACACTGATGAGAGTGACGACAGTGATATCCTAGTTAGAAAAATAGGTGTTAAACGTCCACGTAGAGTGGTTGAAGATGAATGTTCTTCAGCAGAGATAGAGCAAAATCAACCTGAAAAAACATCAGCTGCAAGAAAACGAGAACAACTCCAGAAACTGAAAGAACTCTCAAAACAAAGATCTCGTCAGAGACGCAATAGTAGTAAAGATTATGAGGTGTGTTATATTTTATTGGCTTTGTTAACTGCTTTTAAATTTTTACTTCAAGTATTTAATTTTTATAAAAATGAAAGTGTGTTCTGTTTCTCCATAATTCTAGAATTTATTTTTAATGAAGTATCCATGAACATATTTGATTGCAATATTGAACCTAATATATTTTATCATGAGCTTCAGTCCATCATTCTTTTAAATTGAAAGACTATTTGTTTTGTATGGTATTTACTGTTTATATCTTCTACTTACAATCTTAATGTCTATTTTAAACACTTTACATCACTTACCACGGTATATTATTTTCTTCTTGATTACAAATGTCAACACTTGACAAAAATTTTTTAAACTCAAGATATGAAATTTATGGATCATTTTGGGGGGGGTTCCAGATTTAATCTTCTAATTTCATATACATACAATTTTAAAGGGACAGTTTACTGAAAGAATATGTTTTAATTTAATTAGGACTCTGAAAAGGAATCGTGCCCAAACAGTGATGAAAATGATGATGAGGAAGAAGATGATTATGAATCTGATGAAGATGGAGATAATTATGTTATTGATGGCTTTGTAGTACAAGATGAGGAGGGTGATGAAGAGAATGAAAGTCAGCAAGGAGAAAATTTGACTACATCACAACTGAAATTAGTAAAACAGAATTCGCTTTGTAAGTTAAATATCAAAAAAATGTTTTATGACTGTTTTAATTATGATACTATATCAAGTATGAAATCAGTGTGTTCCTGTCATGTTCTAAATCAGTTAGGAACTGTGACATTATTTTCAGATACCTCTAGTTTGTCAGTCTGATAATAGCTTAGTCTAGTGGTTTCAGGAACCCTTTATACTTCTAAAAATTATTGAGGACCCCAGAGAGCTTTTGTTTCCATCGTTATAGCTATCAACATTTACTATTAGAGAAATACAAAATAGAAGTTTAAGATATATTTATTAATTATTTCACTTAAAAATAACATTAACAAACTCATTAAACAAATAACATTTTTATTAATAATAACTATTTTCCCCCCAAAATGAGAATGACATTGTTTTACATTTTAGTAAATATATTTAATGGCCAGCTTAATAGAAGGCAAAGCAGTTGGGTTCTTATTTGTGTATTTGCATTCAGTCTGTAGTGATGTTTTTGTTGAAATAGATGAAAACAATCTTGTTTCACACATATAGCTGGAAAAGGGAGAACATATTTTCAAAGTAATTGTGGCTATTCTCATTTACCACAACACAAAAATTAGACAAGTGATAGCTTCTTAAAGGTTAGTTGCAATATGAAATCTGAAACCATATAAATGAAATTATAGTATGTACTTACATCACAATCCATTGGTCCATCTTGCAGTTTGAACGGATCTTTTTTATCCATGCATGATTTTTTAACATCGTGCATTGGTCATTTGGAAAATATTGGTTCAACTGTGTTACATGGATCTTCCAAATATTGACACATTTCATAATACAATATTTTTAAAACCACATTCACCAGTCTCATCAGAAAAATATTTAGGTTGGGGAAGCTGTCAGGTTCATAGTAACAGATAAAAGTTTTTAAAAAATCTACACTCTACTTGAAAATCTTCCCTCCCTCCCGTCTTTGGCAACAAAAATATGAGTTCTTGAAATGATAGGTTCCCTTTGTTCTCTTTTGAGAAAATACTTGACAAATGCCTGAACCATAGTTTGTCAGTCATTCTTTCAAGTAAAGATGGTGTCTCATGACAAGGCTTTTCAGCTCCCAACTCAGTTTTTCCTCAAAGTACGATTGATCATACTTTTTGTGTGCAGCCTAAGTACTTTATGCATATGTCCCATTTAATCCCATTGAGTACTAAAAAGATGGTTACTCAAGACTCAAGATATAATAAATTTATAATTTTCACTATTTCGTCAAGGACATTCTTAGGTGAAAGGAGCCTTTTTACTGAGTGCATAGCAGTGATGACTCCAATAATTTCTTGTAGTCTGGTGCTGCTGCCATGTTAGGGGGCCAGCTGCCTTACCCATAGTTACTTTTGCACCATCAGTGAAAATCCCAATAGTAAAAACAGCAAATGATTGTCTCAGTGTTACTGCTTTGATCTCACACATCACAAATGGGCTTGGGGATTTACAGGGGTCTACAGACGACTGGTTTGTAGAACCACTGGTTTTAACAGTACCTGAAGCATCACTCCGTGAAACCTATCAGAGATTGGAAATTAGAAGCTTTTGTAGTTTCATGTAGTTAATGAAAATATAAATAATAGGACTGTGAAATTTTAGGATATCTTTAAGTATGTATTATTCTGATCCCTATAATTATATGTAAATTCAAAGATTGTTTTTATGATGTTTACAACTCTTGATAGAAACAGGCTGCTGGATGTATACTTTTCTATTTCTTAAAGAATGCATCCTTTCCAAATGTTTTATAAGGACAAAAACTAATTCTATGATGGTTCAATTTAGATCTCATGATTTATAATAAAATAGTAGATTGAGGCATATATCAAATTTTAAGAAATTTAGCAGTACAAAGATGCCAGTGATAGGCAGCTATATATTGAAGGCTAGTGACTATTAGATCAATAAACATTGGTTCCTCTGCTACTTTGATATTTGAATGTCAGAGAAATACAATTAGGTATCCCATTGTTCTGGATTACAATATCTAGAATGTGATAGAACATTTGCTAAGAGTTATCCACTCATACCTACTGATAATTAATGAAAAAAGAAGTCCAGCATGTAGGAACTATTTTAACTTCCTTCTCTATTCTACCCCTCTGTGCTAGCTTTTGTTTTTCAAAGGCCATTTTAGATTTACTGAGAAGTTGAGTGGAAAGTACACAGAGATCCTATCTAACCCCTCACACACTCCATCCACACACTCACACACTTTTTTATTTAATAACACCATCCCTGTTATTAATATCTTGCATTAGTTTGGTGCATATGACATGAGCCAATATCGATTCAGTATTATTAACTGTAGTTCCCAGTTTACCTCAGGGTTCACTGTGTTGTACATCCTAAGGATTTTTTTTTTTGTATTTTTAAGTTTATTGTTAAATTATAGTTGACATACAATATTAGTTACAGGTGTACAGTATAATGATTACACATTTATATAACTTACAAAGTGATCACAGTAAGTCCAGTACCCACCTGGCATCATACATAGTTATTATAATATTATTGACTATATTGACTATATTTCCTATGCTGTACTTTACATTCCTGTAACTGTTTTATAACTGGAAACTTGTACGTCTTAATCCCTCTCACCTTTTTCACCCTTCCCTATAGAAGGGTGTATAGATAGATGACAGTCCATCTGTCAACTATCAGTTACTCCTCTGTGTCTAGGAGTTTGTTTCTTTTTTGTTTGTCCACTTATTTTTTTTAGATTCCACATAATAAGTGAAACCATATTATTTTCTTTCTGTGTCTGACTTATTTTATTTAGCATAATATCCTTGAGGTTCATCTATGTGTCACAGATGACAAGATTTCATTCTTTCTTATGGCTCAGTAGTACATCCTATGGGTTTTGACAAAGTATAGTGACACTACCGGTATGCACAATGACAATATCATACAGAATAATTTCACTCTCCTTAAAATCCCCTCTGTTCCACCTGTTCATCCCTCCCTCGCTCCCCTGAACCCCTGGCAACCACTGACCTTTTTAATGTCTCCATAGTTTTACCTTTACCAGAGTGTTTTATAGTTGAAATCACACAGCATGTGGCCTTTTCAGATTGGCTTCTTTCACTTACTATACACTTAAGTTTCCTCCATGTCTTAATGTGGGCTGATAGCTCATTTCTTTTTATCACTGGATAACATTCTATTGTATGGGTATATCACAGTTTATTTACCCATTCACCTATTGACAGACACATTGTTTCCAAGTTTTGGCAATTATGAATAAAGCTGCTATAAGCATTTGTGTGTAGATTTTTTTTTTTTTATGGGCATACATTTTCAACTCATTTAGGTAAATACCAAGGGGCTCTGTGCTTGCTTTTGCTACTGAGCATCTCCACATTGGAGGAAAGTGTGATCCATTTTTTATGTAATACATATTATCTTATGTGCTCTTAATTTTAACTTCTGGCTCTATTCTTACATATTGTCTTTATTTTTTACCATATTCAGTGTCTTCCCTTAGCCACTATTCTAAATCTTATCTTTTTTATTCAAATTTCCCCATAAATCTACAAAGCATTGTATTCAGACTCTTGCATCCATCAATCGAGTGAAATTGCTCTCACTAAAGTAAGTGATAAATCCCTAGTTGCCAAAATGCTCTTCATTTCTTATCTATTAACCTTGTATTGCTATGTGCTTTGCCACCAACCACTGACCACTCTTTCTTTCAGAAAATTCTCTTTTTAGCTTCCGTTCTATCACTCTTTCTTGTTTTTCCCTTTATAATATTGCTTTCCTCTTTTTTCATCTACCATATAAGTATTGATGTTTCTAGAGGTCCCATCCTCAAACTACCTTCATTTTGCTTGAGCTTCACACAGTCTCTTCCCCATAAGTTCAGTCCAGTCTACAGGCAAAAATTCCCCAAATTTTATTTCCAATGCAGATTCCTCCAAAGCCTATGACCCAATTTTTCATCACCTTATTAAACATTTCATCAGGGTGTCTTTCAGACACCTCAGATTCAATGTGTGCAAAACTAAATGAGAGTTTTGTGATGGATGTAAAATTATTGTTTTCTCTGTTGTGGTGGTGGTTGCATCAGTAACACCTCAAAATAGATTAGTTCTCCACCCCTCAATGGTTGCAGCATTGGAAGAAAATCATAGTCTTTTTCTCTTCTCACCAGTCTCTATATTCCTCTGTGTTTATTCTGAGACTGCGACTCCCAAAAAAAATATGATAGAGGAATAGACTAGCAGTGGTCCATTGTATTCCAGATCTATAATGTTCACTCACTAACAATATTATATACAAGTAGATAGGAATAACTTTCGTGTTTGTGGGTTGTGAAGATTATTTTTCCAGGACTCTTATCATTTGCTCAGAGTCACAGAGAACCAAGTGGTAGATATAAAAGTACATCTCTAGAGCCTTGCTACATAAATAACTTGCTAGACTGGAAATTGGACTAAGAGTAAACATTGACTTAGTTTCCACCTAGCACATTCTATCAACACAGCACAGAGTGTGTCCAAAACAGTCTCACAACCATTTATCTTTAATGTTCAACCCTAGAACTTACCCTCTTGCTCTAGGATAAGTGAAAAGTACCAGTGAACTGTTTTTACAAAAGGCAAAGGTAACATTGCTCTGAAACTCAGAGGAAGAAAATGCCTGTGAAAAATTGTATAAAATATTTGCTTTGCAATTTTTGGAAAAGAAATAGGAAATTATAAGGAAAGAATTGTTTGAGGTGAAAGGGAGCTAGGTAAGATAAGGATAAATTGTCAGGAAATTGAAAGTATAAAGTCAAATAAAATCTCTATTGAAAGTGGTAAAGAGCAGAATTAAGAGTACAAAAAAATCTCATCAATGATATAGAGGCTAAACCAAAGTTCTTTGAGCATAGAGAAGAAAAAAAAACTAGTTCTGAGGGAAGAGATGATAAATAAAGGAACCAAAATGAAAATCATATTTCATAAAATCCTGGGAGGAAAATTGGAAATAAATGGAAATCTAAAGGAAGAAAAATACATAACTTTGGTGAGATGTGTAAAAGAAGATTTGGATGTACTAAGAAGCATACCATATTTTTAGATAGAAAGATGTATGGACGTGAGAATTTAAAGATATGGTAGAAGAAAATACTGAGATGCCAAAGACACTGTTTATGCAGATTAAAGAGGCACACATCCCAGTAAGTTGATGAAAATAGATTTGCAAACAGACATGTGAAGGATTTTTTTTAAATTACCAGAATAAAGAAAACGTTATCTAACCATTCTTTTTAGAACTGTAAAAATAATTTAACATTAGGTGCCATATTAATGTAACATTAATGTCAAAAAAGAACTTGTACCATAATTTCAACAGATTCTAAAAGAGCACTTGGTGAAATTCAATGTCCATATCTGTTTTTTTTAAGTATTAAAAAATAGTTATATGAGCATATGTCCTTCACATAACAAAGAATATTTTAAACCAACAACCAACATATGTACAAATGAAGCACAGTAGATACACTCTCTGTGATAACAAGACAAAAATATTTTTATTAACCTTGTTCCAGTGTATTGAAGAGCGTAACAAGACATGAAAGTAAAACAAATATAACTATTTAAAAAGAAAAGACATTCTTTGAACATAATGTTATTATATTTACAAAAGCTGCACCTTTCTGATTTCTTTAACCAAGGATACAAAAGTTAGGAGGAAGGGTATGGATATATTGCAAGCAAGAGTAGATGCAGCATGTATTTCCTTAGTTTTCTCAGGTTCTATTTTCCCAAATGGGAGTCGGGTGAGACCTGTTAAGAGTAGAAAAAGAAGCCAATTTCTTTTTCTACCTCTGCCTTTTTACACTGGGCTTACTTACACCTCCATTCCAGAAGAAAGTACAGCCTCAAATCCACCTATTTTTATAAACATTCTCTTGGTTCTTAAAATAAACAGCACTAACAAGACCACACCCTCCTCAGGGTTGAGGGGGAAAGCTGAGTTGGTGCCCAGGAATTCCTAAACAATCTCTCTGTAATGTCCCAGGAAGCTCATTTTCCATAAGTTTCTGAGAGAATCTTATTATTTCGGAATTAGTAAAAGAACTCAGAAAAATGACTATTCTATCAATAATTATTTAGATGGTACAATGAGGGAACATTCCACTTAACACTAGCCAATAATAAAGTTTCTAGGCCTAATCTTAAGCATAGATTTGTAGGAACAAGAATTCACTTTACTGTGAAATAGAAAAGAAAACGAAGAAAAGGAGAGACATACCAAGTTTCTGGAAGGTAATAAATAATATGAGAAGTTATTTCATCTGAAATTGTTTAACTTGACAAAACAATTCTAAAGTTAATTTGGAAGAAATACTATTGGAGAAGAAATGAAATTTGAAAACAGTAAATCAAAAGGACTTGCCCCACCAGATATAAAAAGTTATCACAAAATTGCAATAAGCAGTGTAGTAACAACATGAGAATGACAGCCAGATAGTGGGAAGTTGGTGCTAAAACAAAACCTTAACATGTATGTGAAATTGATGTATGATAAAGGATGCATGGAAAATCAACAGAATGACTACACTATCCAATGATTGGGGTGGGGAAATTGATTAACAACTATGGAAAAATCAACTTATGTGTAAACATCGATATTGTTGGTTTTCTCCTGTGTCCTTCTGTAATTATAATCATGGAGGAAAGTTGTAAACAATATTCCTAGGATATTCCACAGAACCCTACCCAATAGAGGAACTAAAAGCACTGAATAAAGTTCTGGAGGAGGTCTGAGCCCTAATCCTGATTCTGCCTCCATCTAGTTGTGTGACCTTGGGTAAGTTATTTCATCATTATGTCATTCTTCTTAATTTTAAGATAAGTTGAATTTTATTTTCTCCAACTTTCCATCCAAGTCTAAAATTTCATGTTCTGAAATATAATAATATCAAATCCCATGCAGAAAAACATCTACCTCTAGAGGATAGTAGCATGAAATCAAGAGTCAGAGTGCCTAGTTTCCAATCTTGGTTTTAACACTAGCAGTGTGATCTTACATCATCTCTGTAGCTGTTTCCTCAACTAAAAATAAACTGAGGGTCATGATAGTACCTAGTAGGCTTGTGATGAAAAATAAAGCAATGTATGTAAATGCATAAAATGATGCCTGGCATATACTTGCTCAGTACATTTTTTAAAAATTTGCAATGCCAGAGCTGTAATTTTAGCACCTCTCCATCCACTCAAGTACGGTGAAATCGAAGGCTTCTTCCTGACTTTTTTGAAACACATTGGTAGTAGAGGGACTGTGTGATTCTTTAAAAACTCCAGGTGGTTCTGATCCTCTGCTTTTTTAATCCCAATACTAAGGAGACACTATAAGGGTCTTTGAAGTAGAGCAGAAGTTCCCAAATTCCATAGTGGATGCCTAACATTCAAAACTGAAAAAAATTCACTGAGGTAAAAAAATCCTACTTCCATTTATTTGATTGTTAAACATAGGTGCACAGGGAATGGATTTGATTTTTTTCTCAACGTATCTATTAATATTCCCAGAACAGTTTTTCCTTAATAAGTTTAAGAAGTGTTAAAATTTAAAAGCATTTTAACACCCACAAATTATCTACTAGCACTATAATATATACAGAGGTTGATGATAGTCTAATCAAAGTTGAATTTTTTGAAGTATTTTCCAGTTCTAATGATTTTAAAAAATATATTCATAAATAGCTATGATCATTTCTTTTTCCATTAATTTTCAATTAGTCATAGGTCTTCTAAAGTGCAAATTATCTGCTCTTGTCATTTAGTTACTACTGCTTTATTTTGTTCACTTTTAGTACTTCAATAGGTGTTTCCTTAAAAAAGATGTATACTAAAAAATTCCCATAAATTCTAAAAAAGGAGTTATACAGTCTTTTTAGTAACTAAAATATAAGTTTAAATGTTTCTCCATGTTAAATCCCAGTCTCTGTTTTATTTCAACAGAAAGCAAAGTTCAGAGGGTCTTCTTTCCCTTTAATCTCTTACCAAGCATCTTCTACTTTTCCTGAAATACACTGCTTTTAATATGTCTTCACAGATGCCCAGAATAAAGCAAATGTTCTATTGTGATCATTTGAGTCAAAGAAGGGGTTGTGTTTGATAAAGAACATTTCCACAGCTGTAGTAAACCTTAATCCAAGAGCAATGGGAAATAGTAGGGACCTTCACTCCTATTACTGTCTAACTTGCCAAACAGATGATTCCATGGACCAGATTGGGTTAGGGAAAGTAGGCTTATATATTTGGTAGGAGAAAGCATAGACATAAATTTTCTAAATTGATGTGGAAAATTCTAAATCTGGGGCAGCAGAATGGGAAATGGAGTTTTTATAGTCATTGGGATTCTGGCTAGGGTAACAATTTGACAGACAGTGTTGTATGTAACATGTATTGGAAAAAACTTCTTTTTAGAAGTTTAGTGAATGCTCTGAACAATCCACCTAAAGAAGTGTTTTCTCCTGTCAAGAAGTTCTTTCTAATTGTCAAGCTGATCATTAAACTTAGGTGATTAGGTGACGATTTTAATTCGTTTTTACAGCATATTTCTTAATATTCCCCAGGTAAGTTTGGACAGTGAAGAATATTTGAAAAAACAACTAGAACCTTTAGATTAGAAGCCAGTTAATCTGGAAAATGGAGATTTGTTCAGTGACTAGAGAAGTCACTGAGGCAGCTATAAAATTAGAATAATTAAGCAATACTTCTATTTATAGTATTAATTTTTTTAGCTTTGGAGAAATGAACCTATTCAGGAATTTTTTTTTGTCTAAATTCTAATATTTATTTCAAATTAATTTCAGATTCTTTTAATGACCACTACACTCACTTTGAAACAGTTGTGAAGGCTCTTCTAATCAATGCTTTAGATGAATCATTTCTGGGAACATTGTATGGTAAGTTAATATGAATGTAACAATTTTTTTCTTTTTCCAATTTTAAACAACCGTATGTAGTACATAACAAAACCAAGGAGACCCATTCTTACTTAGGACCCTCCTGTTGTTGTTCCCTCAAGAATCGAGTTTACCAAAAGTCCATTCACATCAAAAACTTGTTAGTGTTTATTATTTGTGAAATATAGAAAGTACAAAAGAAATACTTAAGAGTTCCCTGCCCTTAGAGAGCTTACAGTGAATTAGAAAATACAGGACTCACTCTTAAAACAGCAGGACAGTTCCACACTCATGTGTTATCCCAGCCTCTCTAAGCTCCTTGAATTTCACCAAAAGTTAGGTTGTTTTAAGCTTTTGTGCTTTTGCTCATGCTATTCCTCTTTGAATATAATCTCTTCCTACCCTAGATTTTCCAGGTGAATGTAAAATCATTTTCACTATCAAAGCTACCTACGAGTCCCGGTCAGGTGGCTTGGTTGAAGCATCGTAGCATACACCAAAAAGTTGTGGGTTTGATTCCCATTCAGAGCACATACCTGGCTTGCAGGTTTGATGCCCAGTTGGGGCACATACAGGAGGCCAGTCGATGTTTTTCTCTCACATCGATGTCTCTCTCTCTTTCTGTCTTTCGCTCTTCCTTCCTCTTTGTCTAAAATCAATAAAAAAAAGAAAAAAATCCTCAGGTAAGGATTAAAAAATAAGCTACCAACAATCCACTCAAGTAGTACTTGTCACTCCCTCATTTGTGTTATCATTACCCTGAGTATGGTGGTACTGATGTGTATACATTTTTCACATGTGTATTGAAAATGTATTTTTGCCTTCCTCCCACCCAAGAATATGAGAAGAAACGTACTTTATATACTTATCCCTTGCATCTGGCACAGTATCTGGCACTTAATAAAGACTAAAATATCATGTGTTGAATATGTACATAAGTGCTAAATTAAGATTTCATTCACAGCTTGTTGAAAATATTTGATGAGTGCCTACTAAGGACCAGGCATTATTTGAGGGCTGGGGATATGGCAATGACCATGACATGAGATTCCTGCCTTTCATGTTGCGTAAAGGCTAATGGGAGAGATAGAGAATGAGTAAACAAATATGTAACCATATGATTTAAACTACTGATTAGTTCTTGGAAAAAAGTAGGATAAGGAGATCAAAAGTGAGAAAAGTCTTGTTAGTTAGACTTGTCAAAGACAGCATCTCAAGAGGTGACTTTTGAACAGAAACTTCAAATGAGAGAAATAATACATGGATCTAGCAGAGTGCACAGCAAATGCAAAAGAACCTTAGGAAAGAGTCAGTTTGATGTGTTCAAGGAACAATTAGAAGGCCTGTATGACTCTTTTCCCTAATGCTCTCATGGAATGATTTATTTCTACCTCATTAAAAATTTATTTTAATTTAAAATGCTTCTAACCAACCAACCTAAAGCTATGGGAAGAAACCCTTAAGTGTTCAGTTATTTAAACATTTCATGAGGGCAAAGTGACTGGGATATTTTTGTTGTTCCCCTGAACAGATGGCACCAGGCAAAAATCATATGCACAAGACATGTTGACATCTCTTCATTATTTGGATAACCGCTTTGTTCAGCCTCGTCTAGAGAACTTATCCTCTAGAAGTCGTTGGAAAGAGCAGTATAAGGTATACAGCTTTATATATTTTTTTTAATCTCTGGGGGTCAGGGGGAGTAGTGGGAGGCCTCTCAGGAGTTCAATGTTCAGTCAGCCTTAATAATCTCCTAAATTATTGACATTTTTCTTTGTTAAATAATAAAGCTCATTGTTTCTTACCAATTCTAAAAGCTATTACTGTTTTAATCATTCACACTTATTATATATATCCAATAATTAAGTAGTTCTAAATGAAGAATAGCTTTAGAACATTTAAGGGTTTAGCCCATTCTTAAAATGAGGAGATTGTCTCACAGGGTGTTCATTGTTGTTTTAGAAAAGGACTTAGGGAAATTTGAGGAACCGTGGCTTTAAATTAACTGGAGGACTTTTTAAGGAGAATTAACGTGTGAATTTATACTGTAAATCTTCAAGAGAGCCAGGTAGTGTATAATACTTTCCAAGTTTGTGTTTTTACTATGAGGCTCCTTTTCATGAAGTATACATCACCTCCTAGGAAAATTGATTTCCATAACACAATTTGGAAAATAAAAGCCTCAGTTGTCTTTAAAATCCTTTTCTACCTTAAGATTTTGTAATTATACCAATTTGAGTAAAGCATATTTTTAATTTATAAGATTTATTGGATTCCACGTTATCCTCTAGATTTCTTTATCACCTCTAATAGTAGCAAGTGCACTATATGATTTTTAAGGTTTCTTTTTTCTCTCTACTTCTAACATTCTATCTTCTAATGATTATTAGTAAGAGGAAAATGTCAAGATAAGTGAAGTTCAAGTTCCCTAAAGTCCTTCTAGCACTTAAATCATTAGCTACTCTACCTCATTTAATGTCAGGAGATTTGGCTTCACGCAAGGCCTGTTCAGCATTAAGTTACCTAATGATAAATTAGCCACAGATGGTTTCAGTTAAGGGACAGTTATAGGATTACAAAAAGAGTTAGAAGACTTCAATTGGGAGGATGGCTTGAGTTCAGAGTATCTTTTTTACTTTTTCAGTGTGGGTGTTTTTAACTTCTCTAAACTCCAGTTTTTTCCTCAGATACAGAAAATATTTAGCTATTTTAAAGGGAAATATTTATTTACTTTGAAGAGAAAGCAGATAGTGCAGCTCTTTGAACATGATGTAAATAATTTTCTTTGAGAGAAAGAAAAATAGCATTTTTCATTGATCATTTAGTTTTGCCAAATAATTTACATGCGAAGTAAAGTATCTTATTCGATCTTCAAAATTAACCACATTAGGAAGTCACTATTATTTCCTCTATTGGACATGAGGAAACTGGGACTCAGAAAATTGAGTAAAAAAAGGTTACACAGCTAGTAATGAGCCAAGCCAATATTTAAACCTAGAAACCTTGGGTTTCTAGAGTTTCCTGATTCCGAAGCCCATACCATTATGTATATTATGATTTACGATACTATGGTAGGTTATGCTGAATATGGATAACCCAGTGTTCAAATAACTGTAAGATACAACAAAATATTAACTTAAAAATTTAGAGACATAGATTATTCAGTATGGTCTTGGTCAGGATAAGCTACATTATGCTACAAAAATTAAATAATGTGACAAAAAAATAAAACCACAACAAAAATCTTAATAGCTTAATTCAACAAAGTTTATATTTTACTTACATTAAATGTTCAGTGTGAGTCAACAGGAGTGTTTTGCTTGTAGTCTCTCAGGGAACTAAGCTGATAGAGCTTTCAACTGACCGTGTTCTTTCATGAGTAACACAGAAGCTGGAGGGGAGGTGGTTAGTCACCTGTTCCCTCTGAAAGTCAGCCTGTAAGTGACATGTGTCATGAAATATGAAAAATAGTAAAGGTGGACAAAAGGCAGTGTTGTGAATCATCCAATGTAAAAATGACGAGTCTGTTGGATACTTACTTAATACAGAAAGTGAAAGTGGATTAGTAACCCTGCTTAATAGGCTCATTGTGTACAGTTCAAATATTGTGGTAAAACCTAATCTACATTACTAATTAGAACCGTGGTCTCTCGCACAGGCCTAGAGAGCAAGCAAGAATACTCAAACACAAGTAATTACACAACTTAATAAACCTTATTTAAGAATGCCAAATATTTTCTCTTTGTTTACTAATGCTAGCTCAGCTATTACACTGTCCATATCAATACTGGCCACCAAGCAATAATAGTTCCAACTTGTTTCATAGTACTTAAGTAGTAACCAATGAAGATTAAATAATTTCTGGAATATTTTGTTGAAAATATGATATAATTCACACAATACGATCTTGTTTTTCTTAGTTCCTGACTAACTGAAATGATTCCATCTTTTATTATATTCTGAATTTTCGCTGCTCATTGTTTCCTATTTTAAACTAATTAATACGTCATTAACACTAACTAGAGATGAGAGGAAGGAAAGCAAAACCTTTGAAACTACTTCATAGTAACTCATAAGAGATATGAAACTAGTTTTTTTCTAGTCTGGTTTTTTCCACATAATATTCTAAATTATAAACTCATTTATATGTAAAAATATCTTGCCAAATATTTACTGTGTGCTCAGTATTAAAATTAGAAATAAATATTCAATACTAGTGTTTGCTTTTACATTTCATCCTGTTGTTATGATTCCTAATGTTGCTTTTAATTTGGTTAGGTTCTTTTTATGTTTTATTTTGTTGTAGTCATTCTAATTTTTATAGCCTAATCTATATACTTTTTTTTTGTTTCCAGGAACGTGTAGAAAATTATTCTAATGTAAGTATCCATATGAAGAATCCTGAAAATTGTTCCTGTCATGCTTGTGGATTGCATCGCCACTGTAAATATGCAGTGCATTTATCGGGACAATTGTATAACACCAGGACTATGGAAACAGATGATTTTATGTCACATGATAAACAGGTACTCTTGTTCCTCTCATTTTAGTTTTCAGTATTTGGAAATTTTAAATACTAAACTTGCACAAATAACCGTTATATTTTACAAATGGAGAAAGCACTAGGAGAAGGGAAAAGAGTACAAAGAAAAATAGTACAGTTTTTTAATGTGAAACATGTTTCAAGGTTAGATTTACTCCTAATTCAGTCAGATACTAAAATCCACGTATATTCTCTAAGTACACTTCACCTAAACAGCAGGGGGTGGCAAGAGAGGGTATAGGATAAGGATGAAAAAGGAGGTAACAGGCGGAAGAAGCAAATGTCATTTGGGTCCAAAGGAGAATTTGACCCAAGTAGAAAATTGTATAATCTACCAAATTGACAGTCCACAAGCAAATAACTAGAGAGGGCTACTCATCCTAACAGGAGAATTGAAAGAAAACCGTGCTCCAACCTAGGCTTTCTCAGAGGTGTGTCAGTCTAGAGCAATTATCAGGTACTTAAGGTGCTGTTAATTTTGAATGACTAGAAAAACTGAAGAAAATATTTGAAGTGTTTGAAGAAAAGTATTTGATAAGAGCAAAGTAATACAATGTGAAGAGAGAAAAAGTGCAGATACAGACTACTTCTATTTCTTTTTTTAATCTCTGTAAAAGTGTTGCATTTATAAATATAAAAATACTGATATTGAAAGCTCCCTCTGGTGAATCTGTATATCTCTGAAGGGTGCATGTGTTTTGGGGTCTAGTTAGAAACAGTCTAGTCTGTTTTTAACATACAAACATACTATCTATCTGAATTCTGTTAGATTGCCTAGTATGATTCCTCAGTATTATTTGGCAATAATTGACCAGGTCCCTCTGAACAGTCTGAGTTGCAAGAACCTCTAGAAAGTGTATATGGTGATAATGAATTCAGAATTACTCTTTCATGTTTTATTTGGCAAGTTAGTATAAAAACATTTCTTTTCTCAACATAGTCGTATGCAACTTTCGCAATTGTTTAAAACTGATTTATGACTTTATGAGATAAGACATCTAGATTCTTAATAAAAGTAATTTAGTAATAGTTTAAGGGTAATTTTCTGTTGTATAGATAAAAATATTGCTGTACGTTCACAGTCTTTGCTGTCTACAACTAATCTTAAAGAGGAGTGTGAATTAGAAAACCATTTTTCAAGTTCCAATATTCCTGTGAAGGAATGAAGACTCTGTATAAAATAGTTGATTCAAATATCTAAAAAATAAGAGATCTCATGAAATAAAAGCAAAGAACATTAATATACTGGTCACACAATGGAAAAATATCAAAGGTAACAAACATATTGGAAATGATTATTTTCTATTTAAAGGCATTACTGAAACTACCCAAAGATGCCAGGCAATTGCTCCTCAAGTAGCAACATATTTTTAAATAAAATGACAAAATACAATTCTGTCAAGATTGCATTGAAACTAGCAATTTCATGGAAAGATTCCTGGAGAAAGAAAGGATATGATTTTTTATTTTTAGATACTAGGTAACTATATACTTGTACAGCCAGAGTTACAGAGCTATATGTATTCAGTGCTTGTAAGTTTGTTCTTGGCAAAGTAATTCAGTAAAAGCAAATGACACAATTATGAAGTTCATTGAAGCATTACTTATAATATTGGATTGGCCAAAAAGTTCATTTGGTTTTTTTTCTGTATGATGGCTCTACTAGTACTTAGTTGTCTTTAACTTCATTCAAAACAATTTTGTAGAGTTCTGGCCAAGATGGAAGCATAGGTAGATACTCTTTGCTTCCTCGCACAACCAAAAAGATAATAACCAACTTAAAAACAAAAAACATCCAGAACTGCCAGAAAATCAAACTGCATGGAAGTCTGACATCCAAGGAGTTAAAGAAGGAACATTCAGCCAGACCGGTAGGAGGGGCTGAGACAGGCAGCCAGGAGCAGGGAGGTGGGGAGAGGATACGTGGCAAGGCAGTGCTGGTGGACCAGATATCCCACATTCATGTAAGGATAAGCTGGGAGGAACAACTGGGGAGTGAGACAAACCACGTAAACCAGGGTTCCAGCACAGGAAACTAAAGCCTCAAAACCTCTGGCCGCAAAAACCTGTGGGGGTTGCAGCAGCAGGTCCAACTCTCAGCTTCACAGGATAGTCCGTTGGAGAGACCTATGGACATACCCAAGCCCACCCATCTGGGAATCAGCACCAGAAAGGTCACAGTCTGCTTGTGGGAAGTGAGGGAAGTGACTGAAAGCGAGGGAAGTGAGCCAAGCAAGCGGCATTGTTCCCTCTCTGACCTCTCCCCCACTTACACCACACACAGCAAAGTAGGTTGCCCTGCCCTGAAGAATACCTAAAGCTCTATGCCTTAGAACATAACGGGTCCACGGATACAAAGAAATATGGCCCAAATAAAAGAACAGCTCAAAACTCCTGAAAAAGATCTAAGCGACAAGGAGAAAACCAGCCTATCAGGTGCAGAATTCAACAACACTAGTAACCAGGATGCTCACAGAAATGATTGAGTATGGTCACAAAATAAAGGAAGAAATGAAGGCTATCCAAAGTGAAATAAAGGAAAATACACAGAGAACTAACAGTGAGGGGAAGGAAACCAGGACTCAAATCAATGATTTGGAACAAAAAGAGGAAATAAACACCCAACTGGAACAAAGTGAAGAAACATGAATTCAAAAAAATGAGGAGAGGCTTAAGAACCTCTGGGACAACTTTAAACATTCCAACATCCGAATCATAGAGGTGCCAGAAGGAGAAGAGGAAGAGCAAGAGCAAGAAATTGAAAACTTATTTGAACACATAATGAAGGAAAACTTCCCCAGTCTGGCAAAGGAACTAGACATGCAAGACCAGGAAGCTTGGAGAATCCCAGAGAAGTTGGACCCAAGGAGGAACACACCAAGGCACATCATAATTAAGTTACCCAAGTTTAAAGACAAGGAGAGAATCTTAAAAGCAGCAAGAGAAAAGGAGACAGGGACCTACAAAGGAGTTCCCATAAGACTAACAGCTGATTTTTCAAAGGACACTTTGCAGGCAAGAAGGGGCTGGCAAGATGTACTCAAGAGTCATGAAAGACAAGTACCTACATCCAAGATTACTCTCTCCAGCAAAGCTATCATTTAGAATGGAAGGGCAGATAAAGTGCTTCCCAGATCAGGTAAAGTTAAAGGAGTATATCATCACCAAGCCCTTATTATATGAAATGTTAAAAGGACTTATCTACGAAAAAGAAGATCAGAAACTATGAACAGTAAAATGACAACAAACTTAAAACTATCAACAATTAGACCTAAAAAACAAAAACTAAGCAAACAACTAGAACAGGAACAGAATCACAGAGATGGAGATCATGGAGAGGGTTATCAGTGGGGAGAAAGAAGGGAGAATGGAGGAAAAGGTACAGGGAATAAGAAGCATAATTGATAGGCACAAAATAGACAGGGGGAGGTTAAGAATATTATAGGAAATGGAGAAGCCAGCAAGCTTATATATACAACCCACAGATATGAACCCAAGGAGGGGGGAATGCTGGAGGGAGGAGGGAATCTTGGAGGGGTAGGGGGTGAAGGGCAAAGGGGGATAAAGGAAAGAAAAAAATGGGACAACTATAATAGCATAATCAATAAAATATGCTTAAAAGAACAATTTTGTTTGCTTGTATTGTGACATCTGTCATATCAGTGTGCATTTAAAAAAACATTAGTGAATTTTTGTGTAGCCATTTTAATATTGAATATGGAAGAAAATAAGCAACATTTTCAGCAATAATAGGACACTACTATTATTGCACTATTATTTATTATTTCAAGAAAGTAAAAACGCAACCAAAATGCCAAAAACAATTTGTGGAGTGTATGTACGGAGAATGTACTGTGAGTGACTGAATGTGTCAAAAATGCTTTGTGAAGGTTCGTGCTGGAGATTTCTAATTGGACAATGTTTCAACTACCAATTGAAGTTGATAGAATCAAATTAAGATACTAATTGAGAACAATCAGCGTTATACCACATGGGACATAGCCAACATATTCAAAATATCCAAACCAATAAAGTTATTGGTAAAAATGAAAAATGTGTCTTTTTGGCCAATCCAATACAAAAATGGAAATAATCCAAATAAAGTATTAGAGTGGTGATTTAATAAGCTATCATCATTTTGCTATAGAATATAATACAACCACTAAAATAATATTTTGAAGGTTATGAAATAATGTTAGGTAAAAGTGAAATAATAAGGAATGTTATAGTACCTTGCATCTGTGTAAAATGTGTGTAATTGTATGTATAGCTATGCGCAAAACATTAAACTAGTTATTTTGTGTATTAAGATAGTGATTGAAAGTCTTAATTTAATGTTAAATTTTTCAGTAAGTTTTTCCTTTAAGGGAAGAATAACGTATTAAAATACGTTATGTCCTACTAAACTACCATGTCAGTGCATGTATGGAAAGAAAAGGGAAGGGGGGCAGAGGGAGGGGAAAAAACCTGTTGTTAATCAAAGGCATTAAAGAGACTGATCACCCCTGCACCCACCATCAGGTTATTTTGAAAACTAATTCTCCATTTTGTGTTGCTGCTTATAGTTACACTAAATTGAGACTCCTTGGGGTTAGTTGGGGTTTTCTTTTAAGGTGCAGCTAATACTGTAAAAGAATGTTCTTAGTGAATTTGTTTAATGATAGAACTTTTCTTCTTAGTTGATAATATCTTCCTGAAAGAAGGGATGCTTTGATGGAAAGTGGAACCTAATGGGAGAGAATAATTTTAGTTGAGTAGGATAATGAGATGAGAGGCCTTGGACCACCAGATTGTGGACATAGATGAGAAGGAAATTACCTGGGGGAAGAGAGATGTGAAATCTGAAAGGCAGATGGGAGGACTCATAATAATCTTGAATTAATTTGTAATTTTTTTCCAGAGATTGTCCAGATTCCTTAAGGTGCTTAAGACCTGATGGGGCGAGGCAGGAATTACGACACAAGTAGCAATGGATAATGTGTCCATGCAGAAAAACAGGCTGAGAGGAAGTAGAATCCCTTGGCTGGATGTATTGCAGTATCAGGGGTATCCAGCCTTTGGTCATCTCTGCCACACTAGAAAAAGAAGAGTTGTCTTAGGACACACATTAAACACATTGCAACACGTAATCACAAAAAAAAACTCAGTGTTTTAAGTAAATCTACGATTTTTTGTTGGGCCTCATTCACAGCCATCTGGGCCACAGGTTGGACACCCTGCGTGTTTCCAGAGGCCTAGTAGTATAAACAAACTTCCTCTCATCCTTCCTTTTTCTTAAGGATCTTTTTTCTTCATATTTAACTTCTATAAGGAGCTGGCTCCTCCATATATAAAGGGCCTACAGAAATACCTTTTAAAAATTTTTTTTATTTATTTTTTAGAGGGAGGGTAAGAGAGGGAGAGAAACATGGATTGGTTACCTCTCACAGGCCCACAGCTGTGGACCTGGCCTATAACCCAGACATGTGTCCTGACTGGTAATCAAACCAGTGATCTTTCAGTTTGCAGGCTGGCCCTCAATCCACAGAACCACATTAGCCAGGGTGAGAAATACCTTAAAAAGTTACCCACAGTTAGATGGGTATTACAAGTGTACATAATGCATGTTTCATTATATTTCCTTGCCTTAGTTTGTTAACCAATGTTAATTTACACTTCCATGGGCTATATCTAACAATTTTGCAATCCAGCATCTTCTGCTTCCAGAAATTTGGTAACAAATTTTAGCTTTGTTTCCAATTATATCTTTGTGAATGTTGGCTCCCTTAGGCTCACTTATCATCAGATTTATCAGTTTATAGAACTAGGCTACTCTGCATATAATCATTTATATGCCACTTTTCTTATCTGCTATGAGAACAATCATCACAGTACTTATTCCTCTACCTCTAGCGATTTTAATACTATCTTGTTAGAATAGTGTCCTTAATGTCTAGAAATGCAATTAGATAATTAAAAGTAGTCTCTGAAAACATTTCTGGACATTTAAGGACACTGCTCTAACCGTGTAGATTAGCTTTCTTGTTTTAGTACTTTATATAAATGCAGTCCTCTACTGTACACTGTGTTGTGCTACATTACTTCAGAAGGTATAACAGAGTGCAGCAATACACTAAAAATGGGTGGAGTGAGGGAAGAGGTCCACTTGCAATACTACAGCTATTATTTTACTGTTCTTTTTTTTTTTTTTTTTTAAGATGTTATTTATTTTTAGAGAAGGGAAGGGAGGGAGAATGAGAGGGAGAGAAACATCAATGTGTGGTTGCCCTTGAGCACCCCCTACTGGGGACCTGGCCTGCAACCCAAGCATGTGCCCTGACTGGGAATTGAACTGATAACCCTTTGATTCGCAGGCCGGCACTCAATCCACTGAGCCACACCAGCCAGAGGTGTTTACTGTTTTCTGTGAAACCTTACTAACAGTGGCTTAGACTCTTCCATATAAAATGTGATCACACTTGAGGGAAAAAATAGTGTGAGAATAATTCTAAAGGTAATTGTGGATTTACTGACCTACACAAGTGTAAGTAGATGCTAGGAAGGTAGAAATTAGAAATAGAAGTCAAGTATAATGTTTAATGTTTTCAATAGATATTTTTGTTACATATAGGAAAAAAATTTAAATAAGAATATTTAAACACCTCTTCCTTCCCTCTTGTTCCAACTTACAAGTTCTTTACAGCCCTGGCTGGTATGGCTCAGTGGATTTAGTGCCGGCCTGCAAACCAAAAAGTTGGCAGGTTGATTTCCAATCAGGGCACATGCCTGGGTTGTGGGCCAGGTGCCCAGTTAGAGGCGTACAAGAGGCAGCCACACATTGATGTTTGTCTCCCTCTCTTTCTCCCTCCCTTCCCCTCTCTCCCTCCCTCCCTTGCCCTTTCTCCAAAAATAAATAAATAAAATCTTTAGTAAAAATTCTGTACAGATAAATTTCTCTGTAGAGTACAGTATATTAGAAATTAAAATCAGACTGTCCTGTATTTTATCCCAGACAGCCATAAGAGACTTCCTGCACAGTTTTTGATGGTAGAAATGGAGAGATAAAGGGTACCCTTAGTGACCACTGCAACTGTTTTACTCAAAGTGGAAGTTATGGGCAAGTAAAGTGTTACAGCAGATATGACTGATTCAATAACAACATTGAAATGTGAAAGATACTTAGAGTAAGCAAGCAGTGTACAATAATACCTGATTCTTTCTAATGATCTCAAAAACATAAAGGTTTACACAGAATATGAACAGAAATCTGAACATGCTTTTCTTCAGCTTTTACAGGTTTTTTAAAAGATTGTAAACTGTCTCAAATTCTGTCTTCACAGGGTGACACATCAAACCTGACTGTTGCCAATTACTATATTTAACTGTTAATCATTTTTACCTCTATACTCTTGGATTATTTACTGAACTCATCACCTTTGTGATCCCTTGCAGTGGGGCTTCAAGAAAACAGTACAATTCTTTGTCAAATAGGATAAAAGTTACATAGATCAATGCTGTTACTATATCACTTGCGCTGAACTCATGAAAGTCTAACCTGTTAGTGAATCTACACACAGACAAATATATAGGTTAGCAAGATTACTCCATGAAAATAAGATTAATCATGTTATAATTTTCAGAGCCCTTTCTGTTTCATTTCCTACAATGAATGAAAAAATATAAGTATAGTTATATTTAATTAGGTCAATGCAGTGACACTTCCTATTTTAGCTATAGGTATGTATAACAACATATATATTCAAACTATTATGAAAGAGAAGTGCTCTTGTTGGTTGATTTCACAAGAACAGTATTATTATAAAATCCTCGAAGTCCATATAAATGTAGAATTTAAAGTTCTTAGTTTGCTAACAAAATATTAATATATATAATCAGATCAGATTCATTAAGGACACAGATAAGACTAAACAGTTATTTTTTACTTTACAAAAATTTTTAGGAAAAAAGTCTTAAATGAAAAAATCCTCCAGTACCTAATATTGGTATTTTCTAGCTTATAACATAGAAAACTCAGTCTCTGTACATGCAGTAGCTTGCATGCCTCTCTTGCTTTCAGGTGTTTGCCCATCCTCTGGGAAGGAGGAGCCATTTTCCTCCTCTTTCCCAAACTCTGCCCTTCAAAGATTTAGTTCAAGCATCACTTACTTGAGGAGCCTTCTCCCCTCAGGATTGGGTTAATTGTCCCACCTCTGTATTTTGGTAGCATCTTGTGCTTAGTATTTGACATATTGTTTTGTAATCATTTGTTTTTCTCCTGAGACTAATATAAGAGGGACATCTTTCACTCATGTATATCCAGTGCTTGAAACATAGCAGGTGCTCAGTTTTTTTAACTGGGTTGTATAAATAAGAGACAGTAATGGAATCATTGTATAAACATTTTAAAAAATGAGTAATGCATTAGATTTTACTATTAAAATCTGAAAACCAGAAAGTATATATATTCATTGCTATATTATTCACATAATATTCAGATTATGTTTATTTCTTGATTTAGGTATTTAGTGTTGGCAGAATTTGTGCTGAACGTACCAGAATCTATCATAAACTGAAACATTTTAAATTCAAGCTGTACCAAGAATGTTGCTCCATGGCAAGGACAGGAGAAGTTGAGGATGAACAAGTTAAAGAAACAGTGGAAAGAATTTTCAGTCAGTTAAAAGAAAGTGGCTGGATTAAGAAGGTAAGGTGAATATAAAATAACCAGCTCATTCAGTAGATTCTGGAGCTTAATTATGATCAGCAAAAGGATAGCAATGATTAGAAGGCAGTGAAATTTAAAAGAGAATCTCTTCTTCTCTCCCTGTCTTTGTATTTTCTCTTTTTTCACCCATTCCTTTCATGCTTATCATTGTCCTACCCTGAATAGGTGCCCTGATGTTCTAAGCATTCATTCAGCTCATCAGGTAAATTTAATCAGCAATAATACTGTCCTTTAATGAAGGCTTTCTGTTTTCACTTCTATATATCTGGTTTTCCTTACGTATATGTTAAGCCCCTGAGTTTCTTTGACAAAGTACAGGACTCACCTCTGCTTGTCTGCCTCCTATTCTTTAAAACAGTTCTTGTGACCTGAGAGTGAAGAAGCACCTGGTGCCAATCTGGGGATCTCGGCTGCCAGTTCTAATACCACCCACATCCTCTTCTTGAGGACATGGGACTTAGCAGTAAGACCTGTAACTGAAGATCAAGGGGAATGCAGAGGTTTCAGGCCACCGCACTGATTTTGACTCCCCCATATCCTATTGATCACCAAATTTGATATCAGGAATCAAGTGGGGGTTTTGAAGAGTGCACTGGATTCCTAAAGATCTGCTGGCAGCTCATGAGCTCTGATCTGCTCATACAGCTTTTAGAATTGTTTATGTACATGGAAGCAATGCTGATATTCTTTAAATCTTTAAAGATTGACATCTTTAAAGGTTGAAATCTTTAAAACAGATCTAGTTACATGAATGTATAAGAATGTATAACAGATTTTCAGGCAACTCAGATAAACAGTATATTTAATCTTAAAAAACAAAAGCCTGATTTGAGATCCATTGCCTGGGTTATTTATATCATAGGGGAATTTGTAAAAAGAAAAATAAAAAGGAGGAAAGCTTAGAGAGTAAACTTAGGAGCAAAGAGAAGGAAAAAGAGAACAACAAAACAGAAACTTCTTAGAACATGTCATGTTTGGCAGAGGTCTCCAGGTCTAGAGAATGACATCAAGATTGGTTTCACTTTTGACGATTATCCTTCTACTGCAAACCACCCACCCAGTGACTCTTTGTCTGCTTCCCTCATCTTAACACGTGTCTTGTTTCTCTCACTTTACTTACTTCAGCTTTTTATCTTTTACTTTGCTTCCGCTTCTCTCATTCCCAGTGCTTTCCTTCCTGTTCTCTGTGCTTTTCAGTTTGCCTTAGGGAGGAGCCATCACTTATCCAGTAAGTCCTGTCTTCATTGTCCTAAATGACATTGAATTCTTAAGTACTTTTATTGATGCATGTAAGTGTTGTGAACCCTCTAGCAGAGTTGAAAGATCTATTGGGACAGCATTTTTATTTTTAGATTTTTTTTTATTTTTTAATATATATTTTATTGATTATGCTATTACAGTTGTCCCATATTTTTCTCCCCTTTATTCCCCTCCACCCTGCATCATCCCTCCCCCTGAGGATTCCCCCACTTAGCTCATGCCCATGGGTCATACATATAAGTTCTTTGGCTTCTCCATTTCCTATACTATTCTTAACCTCCATCTGCCTTTTTTGTACCTACTATTTATTCAGCTTATTCCCTGTACCTTTTCCCCCATTCTTTCCCCTCCCCCTCCTCTCTGATCTCCATTTCTGTGATTCTGTTTCTGTTCTAGTTGTTTGCTTAGTTTACTTTTGTTTTTTGTTTTTTTAGGTTCAGTTGATAGTTTTGAGTTTGTTGTCATTTTACTGTTCATAGTTTCTGATCTTCTTTTTCGTAGATAAGTCCTTTTAACATTTCCTATAATAAGGGCTTGGTGATGATGAACTCCTTTAACTTGACCTTATCTGGGAGGCACTTTATCTGCCCTTCCATTCTAAATGATAGCTTTGCTGGAGAGAGTAATCTTGGGTGTAGCTCCTTGCCTTTCATGACTTTGAATACTTCTTGCCAGCCTCTTCTGGCCTGCAAGGTTTCTTTTGAGAAATCAGCTGATAGCCTCATGGGAACTCCTTTGTAGATAACTGTCCCCTTTTCTCGCTGCTTTTAAGATTTTCTTATCTTTAATCTCAGCTCATTTAATTATGATGTGCCTTGGTATGTGCTTCCTTGGATCTAACTTCTTTGGGACTCTGAGCTTCCTGGATCTCCAGGAAGTCTATTTCCTTCGCCAGATTGAGGAAGTTCTTATTAATTTTTTTGTTCAAATAAGTTTTCAGTTTCTTGCTCTTCCTCTTCCCCTTCTGGCATTCCTGTGATCCAGATGTTGGAATGTTTAAAGTTGTCCCAGAGGTTCCTCAGCCTCTCCTAATTTTTTTGAGTTCTTATTTCTTCATTCTGTTCTGGTTGAATGTTTATTTCTTCCTTCTGTTCCGAATCGTTGATTTGAGTCCTGGTTTCCTTCCTTTTACTGTTGGTTCCGTGCACGTTCTTCATTATATCACTTTGCAGAGCCTTCACTTTTTCCTCCATTTTACAGCCATACTCAACCAATTCAGTGAGCATCCAGACTTACCAGTGTTTTGAACTGTGCATCTGATAGGTGATAGGTTGGCTATCTGTTCATTGCTTAGATCTTTTTCTGGAGTTTTGATCTGTTCTTTCATTTGGGCCAACATTCTTTGTCTCAGCGTGCCTGTTACATTGCGAGGGGTGGAGCCTTAGGTGTTCGCCAGGGCAGGACAACCCAGCTTGCTGTGTTCTGACGCTGTCTGTGGGGGAGGGGTCCTAGAGGGAACAGTGGCGCTTTCTCTGCTCTAGGCGAGCTTTCAGTCACTTCCCCTACTCCCCAGAAGCAAATTGGGCCCTTTTAGTGCTGATTCGGAGGTGGGTGGGTTTGTGTACATTCTTAGACCCCATGGTCTCCCCAGCGGACTCTCCCATGAGGCTGGGAGTTTCTCCTACCGCTGCAACCCCCACAGGTTTTTACCTCCAGAGAGGTTTTGGGGCTTTCTTTTCCGGCACTGGAACCCTGGATTGTGGGGTCCGTCTTGTTCCTCAGCTCTTCCTCTCATTTATCTGCCGCAAATGTGGGACCTCCCAGTCCACCAGCAATGGCTTCACTGGCCCAGTCCTCCAGCCACCTCCTTGCCGTGCTTCCTCTCTGCTCCAGCTGCCTGTCTCCGCCCCTCCTACCAGCCTGGATGAATGTTTCTTCTTTAGCTCCTTGGTTGTCAGTCTTCCATACGGTTTGATTTTCTGGCAGTTCCGGTTATGTTTTGTTTTTAAATTTGTTATTATCCTCCTTTTGGTTGTGCAAGGAAGCGAAATGTCAGGACAGCATATTTTTAAAGAATTGTGTACTAGGTGTAGAAAAATCACTGTGCATGTATTATATAATATAGTAATATATCTTGGAAGAACAATAAAATTCTTGCAGAACAAACTGAAGTCATTTTCAAATTAAGTACCTTCAGAGAAAGCTTAACAGGGTTTGTGACAACAGCAGGGATGTGGAAAAAGGAAATATATTCTTAGGAAGAGAAAGCCAAGTGTCATATTGTGCTTAAAGAATAAGACTTAACATTGGCCATTCAAGAAGGTGTTTCAAGATCATACATGTTTAGGACAATGTGCACATTTTTTTCACATAACGTGTCAAAGAGCTTTGTTCTCTTTTTGTGATCCCTCCTACTTTAAAAAATTTGTCCATAGACCTTCTCAAAAGACTTTTCTGGAAACTAAAGAACTTTATAGCCAATATAAACCCGTATGCAGCTTTTTGTGCTGTGATTAAATTTCAGAATTGGTCTAGTGCTCCGACATCTTTCAGCCTCACTCTGCCTACCCCTCAGTGTGTATGTGTGTGTCTGAGTGATAGCGCTACATGTGTGCTGGAGATGATGCTCGCCGCCGCCTTTGGCTGCAGTTTCATGGCCACGGTTACCCTACCCCTGGAGAATGCCAGGTCTCAGTGCTACTTGTATGAAAAATGTTTGTGGCTCTTCCTGCTCTTGTTTCCCAACTATTATGTCAACCCATTCTTTTACCTTACACAAGATATTTGTTCTGTCTTTCCTCCTCTAGCTTGTTTCACACCTCAGTTTTTCCTTTATCTGCTCTTTCTTCTTCTAAGTATTTTTCTTCCATCATGTCAAGATATCTCAGCATTTCTTCCTCAAAATCTGCCACCTAGACTGACTTTATTCTTCCTCCTCCTAACAGTTGAGCTAGGAGGATCTGGTTTTAACCTAATTACATTAAAGGTTAGGAGCAACCTGAGTATAAAAAAGAAAAAAATGATAAAATTATAATAAAATCGATAAATATAATTTTAATATATGTGTCATTCGAAATTAGAGCTGAAAAACATACTATCATATGTCACTGACAGAATTATAACTTTTCTTTTGGTCAAGAAGAAGGTGCATATGATGATGGAGTTTGTAGGGCAGTTGAACATAGGATAGTTGGGGTGGGATGGTGAACACATGAATATCAGGAAGTGGAGAATGTATGTCAATACAAGTACCAAGTTTCAGTTTTATAGATGTGTTTAAAGTAAATTTTAAATGTAGTGCATAACTATTGTTATATAAATAAGAATTTTAAGTTATGATTGGGTGTCCTGCGACTTCCCAAAGCTCTTCTCACTTGTTCTCTTTCTTTACCCCTTTTTAACTTGAAAAAGTTATTTCTTCCACTCCTTAAACTGATGTTTCTCAAAACATAGCCCTAAACTATCTATATCAGAACCATGTAGAAGTTGGTGAAATACGTGTAGCCCCTGCCTTCACAACAGACCTACTAAATAAGAATCCTTGGGTGATTCTTAGCAAATTAAAGATTGAAGACCCCTGCTTAAAAGGAAATGCTGCACTACGTTCTCTTCTCAGCCTCAGAACTCCCTCCCTTGGCAAACCCATTCCTTTTCCAGGTCTAACTGCTACTTCTGAGTAGAAGACTCCAAACTTTCATTTATGTCTTGACCTCTTTTTCATACTCTGTTCCCATAATTCCAACGGTTTTCATCAGTAGATCAGTCTGGCACTCTAATGGCTTGACATAATAAGACTGAAACTCTCCAAATTTTTAATAAGAAAAATAATAGAAGTAGAATCTTTAGAGACAAAGAAGGAATAGCCAGGCAATATTGCCTTCTCTCTGAGTTTCACTTTCCCTTTAAAGGTTTTTCTTTATTTTTCATACTAAAGCTGCACCCTGCCCCCACCCTTTAAATCTCAGAAATAGCATACTACAGTGGTTAAAAACATGGATTTAAATATTTTCTAACAGTAGAATTTGGAGGCAAGTTTCTTTACTTCTGTGAACCTAAGTCTCTCTTCAGTAAAATAGGAACTAAATAATAATAGTTAGGGTTGACTGTGGAGATTAACACCTTTTAAGCATTTAATATAGGACCTAAGCAATTATAAGTGGCTATTAGTGATTGGCTATTATTAGTAATAAAAGCAACGGGTTTTTTTTTCTGAGTATAGCTCAGATAGACTGTAATTTTCCAAAATAAATTTAATAAGAGAAGAAAATATAAAGAAAGATAATATGAAAAGCATTAGAACAGTCACACTTTTAAAGCATAGGCTTCTGATCGTAGAGTAGGTTACTTCTATCTGATAGAACCTGTATGGGTACTAGATCAAGAGAATCCCTAAGTAGTCCGAAGGTCGTTCCTTCTGTTCTTGTCTTCATGCGTCCAGAGATGCTGATCAAGTCAGAGATCTTTGTGCGTGGGGGAAGGTTTCACGGCCCTCTCTGGGAGGAAAATGCACTCCTCATAAACCCTTCCATATGCCACAAAAGTCAGGGTCACCTCACTGAGAGTAGAACCAGAGTTTATAAGTAGAGTTAAGAAACCATTACTCAGTTAATCTCCTCTACTGAGGAAAGCACTTTGAACTCTATCAACCTTGAAATCTCCAAATCATCCTGACTCCTCTCTTTCTTCTTCTAGCTTTATCTTTAACTCTCCATCTTCATTGCTGTCACTCAAATTTGGGCTCTCATTACCGAAATTATTACAGTAAACTGCTAAGTAGCTGCCAAACTCTTCTAGAATGGATGTTTTACCATTTTTTAAAAAATGCATTTTGGATCATGTCAGTCTCCTGCATTAACACCTCTTACAACTTTGCACCAACTGTCACATTATTGCTGAACTCCTTAACCTAGCATTTCATACTTTTTATTTCCTGACCTCAACCTCTTTGGTTCAGTCTTTTCTTTCTCTATTCCTCTAAAAAACCCGGTTGTAGTAAAATCCCATACTTTTTTGTCAGTGTTGTATGGACTGTTGTATCCTACAGAAAACTCTCCCCATCAAATCTTTGCCTAACAAATCTTTTTTCCCCAGGACAGCTTAGCTGCCACTCTTTCCTGGTCGCCTCAATTCACCATGACCCCCTCTTCTGAAGCCTCAGAACAGCATCTGGACTTCTTTATGGCATTTGTTATTGGTTGTCACTGGTGTATTACTACTGAATTCCATTCTCATTAGGGATAGAGAGAGCCATTTTTTATTTTAACCTAGATAATCATTACTGAATGTTTTATATGTGTTACACATTCAACAAATTTTTGAATAAGTTATTGAATAGTAACACTTCTATAAATACATAAAAATATAATTTACAAGAAAGTTATTAATAATAATGTTCAATTTGATCTTTTTCCAGGACTTTATATTAGTTAGAAATGCTCATTTGAAATTGAGTCCCTGTTTATAGTAAAAAGATTTTTGTTCATGATAACCACAAAATGAAATTGTTCCTGTTTGTGTCTGTAGATTGAAAAGGCCTAGCTTATCGTTATTGCTTTGAGTAAAATAACTAGCTTTTTTATTGTATACACAGAAACATGAGCAACTGCAAGAATATCTCAATGAGGCGGATTTCTTTCAAGATGAGAAGTTTGGATTGTAACACATTGCCTTCAGAGAAGATTTTAGAAATTCCTCTAAATGTGAAGATCACGAATTTTGTTTCCCTGTATCATGTGACATATTTCTATATTTTATGTATATCTATCTTCATGCCAAAATATCTTGTTTAAAACATGTTCATCTTCATTTCCATGAAGTGGCACTCTACAGTCTAATAAAACTTTTCATCTGCTGTACATAGAAAACTTAAGCTTAATAATTTTAAGTGTATTTTGAAGTTATATAACAATACCTTTATAACATGATTATCATATGAATAAGCTGTTTATATCCTGTCACTTTAGTAGAGAAATACTGTATTTTTAAAATGTACATAGACCATCACTGACATGTATTTATTGCTGAATCCCTGCCCAGATCGATTTATTATTCTGTCTTCACTAATATGTTTATTACTACTATCATTGAAATCAGTGGGCCATGGAAGAAACCTCCACATTTTGTTCAGTTCAATCCCCCTGCTCCAAATCAGACTATAGTTTACCCATTCCAAATAAAACAGATTTCAGGCCTCCAGAGTATTAACCCTCACATTGAGGAGTAATTTCATAATATGTATTGTCATGCTTCAGTGTTTTATTTTTCTGTCCAATTTTGTCTATATGTTAATATTTAAGATGTGTTTTATTTTTATCCATAATTTCCCCATCAAAGTATTTATGTTAGAAAATCTCAGAGAGATAGATTCAGCCAAATATAGTTTAAAAGCATATTTTGACCCTGTCCAGGTAGCTCAATTGGTTAGAGCATCACCCCCATACTCAAAAGTTGTGAGTTATATCCGCAGTCAAGGTACATACGAGAAGTAACATATAAATGCATAAATAAGTGGAACGACAAATTGATGTCTCATGCTCATGCTCTTCCTTCCTCTCTCTCAAATCAATAAGAAAACCTCTAAATAAAAAAGCATATATTTTGGCATCTGCATTGCTTTGCACATCGAAATTTTCCCATAACATAATAAAGGAAAATGGTTTCAGAGTGAACAAATGGACCCTGTCTGTTCTTTATCTTCAGTTCCTAAAAGTGGTATTCCAGCAGGATGTATTTTAGCATGAAATTTTATATACTTGTTTCCTACTTCAAATGTTGGTTGAACCTGGCTTCATCTATTATGTGGTATACTTCATGGACTTCAGTGTATGTGCATACATGAAAAGCTACATTTTATTTAATCCTTAAATATTAATATTTTCTGAAGTTATTCCTATTATTGTAAACAAAACAAGTAGCAAAAGTTCACAAAGTGGTGAAAATACTGATGCTGATGTTTCATGTGAGGAGTCCATACCTTATTGCTGATGTCTGAGGTCATTGCAAACGAGCAAGCTTCTTCAATGGGTGTTTGGAGAGAGAATACAAGAGGCTTTTCATACATGATAACACCAAAGAATGAAAAAGAGGTTGTTAGGAAATGAGAATTAGTCTAGATCAGGGGACCAAAAGCAAATAGACTATAAAAAGAACCTGTTGAAAAATAGAATTAAATTTTACAGTATTATGACATCTACATCGTTTAGTACAGCACTGAAAAAAATTGTAAACCTCATGTTAACTCTTAAAATCTGGGCATTCATTACTATAGTGTTAGATGCTTTAGTGTTTGTAGCTATGGATAGTAGGAATGATGAGAAAGGCAAATAGACAAGTAAAAGGGAAGTAATGCTTGAAAGGATGCATAATTGTACGAGCTTTAGGGTTTTAAGAGGAGAAAGCACCATAAAAAGGGATAAATGAAAAAAAAATATTTTGTGGACAGTTGAAAGTAATTGACCAACTCTCACTTGTCTGCTCTCATAATCAGATGAGTAGTTCTATTCACCTCTCATTTCTTGGAGGTATTAAAGGACTTGCTTAGATTCCAGCATATTGATTGAGATGTAATTGCAGCCCTTGGGCTATTTTGGGAAAAGTAAGGACTTTTCTGTGATACTGATGCAGTAGCTCAGTGGTTGAGAAAGCATAGGTTTAAAATCAGTCAAGTTCAAGTCCCAGTCTGCTTTCTCCCAGTTACATGTACTGGAGCAAGTAGTTTAATTTTGATGAACCTCAGTTTTCTCATTTATAAACGGGGTGAATTATACCTATCTTTCCAAATTGTATATTAAGGGAGATATATGCTAAGGGCTGTGCCTGAAATAATGTAAATATGTGAATGGAAATGAAGATATGGATCATAATGATGTCAGCTTAAAATTAAATGGCTATAAAGGGTAAATGTGTGCAGAAGACACTATAAACGAGTATTCTAAAACACTGGAATATATGAAAATTTATTAACACCTTACTTGACAAGTTTTTAAGATGTCCCTGTCTAGCATAGAAATCAAAGTGGACATCATCTAGTAATACCAGATTTGGTCGAGAACTCTGTTAATCAAAACCCATGCTACTGCATGACAGTAGAGTGAAAGTTTTAAATTTAAAGATTACATATTTTCTCATCAAGTATAATTGCTGAATATAAAGTACCCATAGTAATAGAAGAGGTAACATCTAATAAATACTTCCTAAAAATCAAATATAAAATGATCAAAACTCCTTCACTTTTTAATTACACCTTCTGAGGAAGCTCTCATTCAAATTTGCATACCTAACCAAGTTATATTTTTGCCTTTCTTCACGTGAGTGTTGAGGAACTTAGCCTGGGGAGGGACAGATAGAAGCATATTCCAATGAAAAGTATGAAAGTTCTATTCCATCAGGGTGTAGTTGTCTTCTCACTTCCAAACTAATATTCCCAGATTTGTGAAAATAAAATGAACAATTTAGGCCAGCTTATCTGGAACTAAAATTGCAAATATATTGTCTCTAAATGTTTGCATTGATTTTACCCATTCATTTCTATTCATATCTCAGTTTGAAGCGGGACCATGTTACTGAGATACCACAGTTGGCTTGAAATAAAGTACCGTTGTTTGAGGCTTCAAATCCAATGACTTCCAATGACACACACAATTACAGTATTTATGGTCCTGACTACCCCAATATTGTGCTCATCCTAATTTGTTTTCCATAATCAATAATGACAAGCAGAATTCAATATATAATTTGGGATCTTAAAGATAGGATCATCTGGAGATGAGGGAACATCAGTCTGTGTGACAGATCGACTTGGTTTGTGTTCTTAAAATTTCTTGAAACTCACCTGCTGATGTATTCATTTTCCTCCTTCCTGACATATGTAAACCAGGTAGCCATGGAGACCTCAGATCTTGCATTTGTTTTGTCACTGGTAATCTTTCATTTTCAACAACAGCAAAACAAAATCCCTCTTCTTTTTCTAGGACTAGTATTGGTAATTTCATCATAAAAAATTTTGTCGCTCTTGATTTACTTGTGACTATCCAGGTCCAGAGACACCTGCCTGCCCTTTAGGAGCTCTGAATGTGACTTCCTCTCCTGTCCACCTCCTTCCCACCCCCAACATTAACCCACTCATACAGTTTACTATGAACATTTCCCTCAGTGCTCACCCAGCTCTCGCTAGGGTGCTCAGTGGTATCATTTACAACATATTGAAAAATGAAAATGATATCCTCGAGAGGAGCGTAATGTAGGTCTGAAAGGGAAAATACATTCCCCGGCTGGGGATTTCTTAAATATTTACAGCTGATGAAGTGGTTGTGCAGAGGCTGGGGGATTTCCCCCGCCTTGCCCCTTCTGTGGAGGCTGAGGCTGAGCTAAGTGAACGCCGGGGAGACGCTCAGGCTTTGGGATTTACCTCTTTAGCCACTGGGAGGCCCTCTGCGTTCCCCTTTCCCCGGTGCCTGGCTGCAATTACTCACTCGTGCAGTGGCACCAGCCTTCCACCAGGGAGCCCCGGATACGCTCGCCCTCCCCTCCGCCCCCCTGCCCCCCCCCCCCCTCCATCTGCAGCTTGCTGGCTCTCTCTTTCTCCCTCTCTGTCTCACTCTCTCTCTTTCTCTCCCTCTCCTATCGGAGCACAATGAAAGCCTGTGTATCGCCGTGACTCGGGGCAGTGGAGCCAGTGGTCAGCAAAGCGGCTAACAACAGACGGGAAAGAGAAAGGAAAATACAAGCTACTTTTTTTTCCCCCATCTATAAAGCGGAGCAATACAAGAGATAGAAGCACATTGCTTATTGCGAGTCCAGACCCTCAGATCCACTGGCCGGGATGGAATGTACAAAAGTGGACAGAAAAGTGGCTGGACGTGACTCGGTGAAATTTGCTGGAAGTTTGTAAGTTTGACCATCGTTTGTAAATTACTCTCGGAAGAGTTTGTCTCTCTTGATACTGTATTAGAATTGAGCCGGGGGTGAGGAATAGAAACGTAAGCGGGAGGGGGGGGGGGAATGTGTTGAAGGATCTTTCTCAGTGGCTAGCGACTTCAGACTGCTTTCATTTAAGGCTAGGAAACCTTAGAGGGAATGAGGATTTCACCGGTGATTGGATTAGCCGAAGAGAAAAGCATGATCCAAAAGTCCAGTTACTGACATTGTTAACAATTGAAAAGCCGTCTCCCTCTTTTGGGAGAAGACATCCCACTGTCCCCAAAGGAGAAAACACCGGAGCGAAGGGAAAGGGAGGAGAAATTAAAAGTCAAAAGACAGTCTCTCTTAATTTTTGTGTGTTTTCAACATTGACTTCAAAAACCTTCTGAAACAGCACTTTTTTTTTTAACCCGAGTAAAAGTAAAGGCTGCGGGTTACGTACACCGTGGTAGCAATGTGTTTCTCAACAGAAACATCTCCGTAAAGAATTTCCGAAACAACTAAGTGAGGGGGAGTCCAGCTCTCTATTAATACTTCTCTCAATTCCCTTTGCCGGCTCTGTCTGTCTCGGGCTTGACAATCCCTGAATTCTTGCTCTAACCCCCACATTGTGGGCTGACACAGTACCTAGTGGCTCTTGTCAGCTTGGTGGGGGCAGGGGGACCCCACCAACTCTGTCCAACTTCTCTCGAGCTGTCAAATGCAATTAGAGTAAGTTGATCAGGGTTCGTTTCCAACTTATCCTCTGCAGTTGGTTTCTATTCTTGCTCCTCATCCTCTTTTTACTAAGGCCCCTCCTCCACACCTCCTCCACTGCTCCCCCCAACCTCTGAAGACCTCTATTCATGTGGCCCTGAACACTGAGCTCACATTGTCAAAACAGATTTTCCTGCAATAGCCAGCAATAGCCTCCTTCCACCTCACCATCCCAGAGGCAGCAGTCATTGTGTCCACTAAGATGGGGGACACAGCGCCCCCGCAGGCCCCCACAGGAGGGCTAGGAGGGGCCCCTGGGGCGGGGCTCCTTGGAGGGGGCTCAGTCACCCCAAGAGTGCACAGTGCTATTGTGGAGCGCCTCCGGGCTCGGATCGCCGTCTGCCGCCAGCACCACCTGAGCTGTGAAGGACGCTATGAACGTGGTAGAGCTGAGAGCTCGGACCGGGAAAGAGAGAGCACCTTGCAGCTCCTGAGCCTTGTCCAGCATGGCCAGGGGGCAAGGAAGACTGGCAAACACACCAAGGCCACTGCGGCTGCTGCCACCACTACAGCCCCTCCACCGCCCCCTGCTGCCCCGCCTATAGCTTCCCAAGCATCAGCGACAGCAGCCCCACCGCCCCCACCAGACTATCACCATCACCACCAGCAGCACCTGCTGAACAGTAGCAATAATGGTGGTGGTGGTGGGATTGATGGAGAGCAGCAACCACCATCTTCAGCCCCCGGAGACCAGAGGAACTCAGCCCTGATTGCGGTAAGGCACCTGGTTTTCTCATGATTCTGGCTGTGGCTGCGTGGCCTTTTGGGAAGGTAGAGCTTGCCTTGGCCTGGTGTGGACTGGACAGCAGTGAAGGAGGCCAAGATGTCACCTGACTGCCTTCAAAGGCCATTGGTTGTGCTATTTGTGTGGTATATGCTCTTACTCATCAAGTTCTGCTGGTACTCATGCATGGGTTTTCCTCTGCTTGTAGGGTATTTCTTACGTGGTAAGAAGCCCGAGTTTTCCAGAGGCTCTTGAGGTCTACAGCTTGTAGAAGAGGTGGCTACAATCTGGCAAGGTCTGAGCTGCTGAGGAAGGCCAGGTCTCGAGGGTACTCCTGCTTTGGCTAGCCAGTCCAGATTAGGCCCAAGAAGCCATTCTTCAGCCTGAAAACAGTCAAACTGGCCGTTATCAAAGCCTTTTCCTTCTTGTCCCATTTCCCCTTCTCCTTGGGTTAAGAGAACCCAAGGGGTGATCTTGCAGCACAGAGAAGTTTCCCTGAGGGGACCCTCAGGAAAAAACAAAATTTGGAGGGAAATACCCCAGACCAGTGAAGGAATATTTTTAAGAAGACTTACTCCCTGAACTTCTATAGATTCCCCCAGTCCTCTCTCCCACCTAGCATCTTCCCTTCACAGACACTACAGTGAGTGCCAAATTACACAATTCATTAAAGGGGCGGGGCAAAGGAGCAATTGACATGCTGTCATCCTAGGAAGTACCTTGTCTTCAGCCACTTGTGGTGACAGGACATCAAACCTGAAAGTTCTGATTAAGTCCCTGACTAGAAGTTCTTCCTTAGAGGCACCCACACACCCCATCCCAAAAGGACTGTCCCTTGAATCATTGATTTTTGATGCCAGTCCTGGTCAGGTGACAGACTGCCTGTGTGTGTGCGCTTCCCGCTTTCTCCCGAAGCTGCGGGGTCAGTGGCCTCTGGGAAGAAAGTGGAGCCCTGCCCTGCAACCCAGCAGCCTGCAAGCTCCCTCCGTTTCTGAGTTCTGTGGGGCTTCTGAAGTCCTGTGTCTGCTCACAGCACAGCTTCGTTTGCCCAAGTCAGCCCTAATGAAAGTCAGCAACAGGAAATAGCCAGGCAAGCCGAAAAGTACTCAAAAATCCCAAAGGAAGGAGGGCACTGCGTCCAACTTCTCCAAAAGAGTTTGAAAAGGAGCTTTACGGGGAGGACACCCTGCAGACCAGGCCCTAGGATGCTTCTTTGTGGCTCCTCATTATCTCTGGTCTGGGTCTTTGGGGATGAAGTTTCCAGAAACTCTGGGGACTGGGAGGGCGCTCCCCCCCCACCACACACACTTCTTGCTTGGGATGCCTGGAACTGCAACTTCCTGGCACAGACTCCAGATGAAAAATAACTGCTAACAGTTAAACTGCAGAATGTTTGCTGTTTTATCCTTGAATAAAATTAGTTTGTGGGGTTATATTAGAGCTTCAAGGACTAAGTTCCTTTCCCTACCACCTGCTCAGTCCCCACATCTCCCCGGAATTACCTCAGAGAGAGAGCAAGGGGAGTTTGGTTTTTGAATGTGAGGTGGTGAGGTGAAGGAAGGGGGTAAAGAATCACTCAAATGGCGAGAAGAACGAGGTTTGGATGCATGTGTATGTCACTGGCATCTGCAGCCAAAAGTATCTAAATGCCTTGATTGTCCCCAGTAAATTTATAATCTGCCTGCAATTCTCCCAATAATACGGTTTTGTGTGCTTCACAGTCTCCTGGTAAGTGTTTCTGGGGGTGATGCAGGGAGCGAGGTGCCCAGCCCTTCTCAGTGGAGAAGACTGATCGCCGTTCTGGGTGCCAACACTGGATGTGGGCGTCACATTCTAGCCTCTGCAAGGAAGGTGGCGTGTCTGCTCATGACCTTTTTCTTTTCATTTTTGCTTTTCCCCAGCTTGGAAGTAGAATGAGGCTGCCTTTTGTTTGTTTGTTTGTTTTTGGGGGTTTTTGTTAACACTTGAGGGTTTGGGGGATGCGAAATGAAACCAACTTCAGTGGTTATCGTAACTTTACGATGAGCAATATCCACATTGAGAGGAAGTGAGAGAGAGTATCTGGCCTTTCCCGAATGAAGGCTTCACTGCTGCAGAAGCCAAAGGTAGCTGCTGTGCCACCGTTGTCCAAGGGAGTCCGTGTTCCCTCTCCTAACCACCAACCATTGCCTAAAACAGCCCCTCGGGAGTCTGCCCTGGCTGAGTGCAGTGAGGATGAGGGGCCCTATGTGATAGGGGTTCCCTTCTAGGGTTCCCTTCTAAGGTTCCCCTTAGAAAGAGCAGTTCCCTTCCAATGGCTGTTCTTCATTGAAAACGTGTGGGATTGCAAGAGGTGACCCACCACTCCCCTTTTGGTTATTGGAAATTCCCTTCTCCATTTTAGCTTCTAAATTTGGTGCTTTGTTACTCAGCGGAGCACTTGAGAGATGGTGATGCAAATACTGTATTAACCTGATAACATTGTGTGCGAAGGGAGGCCTGGGAATTTAAGAGTGATTCACCAAGCCTATTAGGCCTGCAGGTCTCCCTTCACTCGGCTCCTCTTATTTTCCAAAACACTATTAATTTAACGGAGATGTGCACAGAATGAGTGTCAGAACTCTCTTAATTGTATTGCTCTTGTGTCCATAACCAGATTTATTCCTGTCTGGGTATGTTGAATGTCTCACCTTAATAGTTAATTCATATGCCATAAGTGGTCATAAACATCCTTTGGAGAAAGGCAGAGAATATTGATCATCTCAAATCAAATACATACTGTGTCCTCAGATGAAAGCTCCATATCCATGTACATACCCACTAGCACAATGCCTGGTATATAATTGGTAATATTCAAATGAGGGTGAAAGGGGAACTTCTGTTTCATAGGACAGTGTTGACTTTGAGGGGTGTTGCAAGAAATATATAATGTCTGAGTTTTATCAATAGCCTGAGATGCAAGAACAAAGCAAGAATTACCTCCAAGCCAGTTCTAATTCTGTCCACTTTGAGAGCCTAATTCTGCAGCCCTTACTCAGCCGGTTTCTTCATTTAGCTCAAGTACAAGTTCAGGGGAAGCCCCATTGCTGCAGGGACTGTAGGGGCAGAGCCTTTTAGAGGGCCCAGATTGTGAGGCTTTAAGCAGATCTGCATTTCTAACCACTTGGAGCAGGCTTTAGGCACTAAATCATTTTCTGGTGAACTATGTTTGAATCTCTGAATGGACTGTAAAACTGAATAATTGCTGGTCCACGGAACAGTACAGCTTAGAGCTTCCGTGGTGCATTATTAATCTTTCCCTTTTGCCTGAGACAAGCTTTTTTTCTGTTGCGTACACTGTTGCTAGGATGGATAGATAAGTGGTTCCAAGTCATCTTTGGCTTTAGAGATTATCTTTTCTCTAATGTAGTGTGCAGGAAAGAAAGCAGATCAGACAAGGAGTCTGCATCCTCCGTTCTGTGCCTGCTTGATCACTAGCAGCTGGGTGACCTAGGACAAGTTACTTAGCAATCATCTGTAAAACACAGAGAACAATAACACTGCCCGGGGTTGTTGAGAGAAGCAAATGAATGTGTGTTTCCGAACAAGCTTTGGAAAAAATAAAGCACTGCAGAAATGCAAGGCATTATTACTAACATTACTAATAATGAACTATAAAACAATAAATCGTAATACCCGTTTTTCCAGAGATTAAAAGTATCCTTAAGCTTTCAGTTGTCTGTTGACATGGTGAAATAGCTTTTATTGTAAATAGAGGGATTGGTATTTCAAATTCAGTGCTGTCAGGATAAGTCTGAGATATCAGTGTACTTAAGTGTTCCTGCAGGTCCCAGAAAATCCTAGTTAACATGGGCAACGCTGTGGAAGTGTTTAGGGTCTCTGACTGCACATCTTGCACAGACCCCTGCGAGAACCTGAGTGGCTTCAGAAAGGTGTGTCCACCAGGGCATCGAGGGAATACTAGAAAAGTCGTTTGCACAAATGGCATGGGAAAGTTAAATATTTTGTCAACAATAGTCTAAAATGTTAATTGTTAGCTTAAGAAAGTCAAACAAGTTAAATCATTGCCAGAGTTCCCTGGTTATTTTTAACTGATAATCATCAAGTTTCCAATCGACAATTCAAAATTTTGAAAGCTCTAAATTAGGGGGCTGAGAACAGAACAATTTATTGGGCAGGACTTGGTTTCTGTAGCTGTCTGTGTGATAAATGTCCTCCCCAGGACAGTGATAGGAGTGTTTACATTATTTATATATGCAGCCATCATTTCCTTAAGAACTGACCTATTTTTGTTCTGTTTTCCAGAACAGAGTAATAAAGGGAGAGTTCTTATCTATCCAGGACCTTCCTACTACTTCTTTCAAGTAAATACAATTGTAAGATCTCTCAAAGGCAAAAGAGTTCAAGTGGAGAGAGAAGTTGGTACAATCCTTTATCAAAAATTGACAGGAAGCTCTCTTTGACAGCAAAGTGATGTTATTATGTCAACCAAGATGTCTTGCTTGTTTAGGTCAATGTTTGACTATAGAAGTCGTCTGCTTTCTTCGAAATAATGTCACTGCTTTCTGATGGTCATCAAATTTTTCTAAGCATTCAAGTTTAATGCTATATGGCTTCCCTATGCCTGTATACCTTTTGGAAGTACCAAGACAAGCATGGGTTTTCAAATGTCCTTAGACATAACAATTAAATATGACTAAAAGAGTGGCCATGATTAGCTGTTTTTGTTTTTATTCGTGTTGTGTGTGTATTTATCACTGCAATTTAATCTCAAAGAGCCTAGAAGGAAATTTGAAGGAAAAAAAAATCCAGTTCTGCTCTGCATAGCAGCTAAACACTACTGAGTAGATTCTACCACTTCCTTGTTCATCTGTCCTTATATATGTTCATAGACAGAGTCATGTTTAAAGAAAACAATTTCAAATTCTTTCTCAGGCATTTTCATGCTAATTTCCCTCATACTCTAACAGGCTCTGTTGGAGAATAGAAGTACAGCTAAAGACATAGTCCCT